GCACAGAACAGTTTTCCGATTTAAAATTAATGCTCTTTTGGCCGAGTTATGATATTTTTAATTTTTAAAAAAATCAAGAAGTTTTTTAATATAAAAAATCCGATTTTATAATACAAAATAATATTTTTCTAAGTCAAGGAATCATTTCCGACCCCATAAACCATATATATTCTTGATCAGCATCGACAGGGGAATCTTTCTAGATATGTCCGGAAGAAATCGATTTTTTGGCCATTTTTGCGAATTTTGATAAGGGGTTACATCATTAAAATTAGCAAAAATGGCCAGAAATGCTGATTTCTTAAAATTTTAAATTTGGTATGCAGTTTTTTTAAATTAATAAAAACTAACACAAAACTGCTTTCCGAATCGAAATTAATGCATTTTTGGCTTAGTTATGATATATTTTAATTGTTACCTGTAAGGGTATACAAACTTTGGCTGGCCAAAGTTAGCTTTATTTCTTGTTTTATTATGATTTCCATATATCTTTTCTCTAACAATTTTCTGAAAATAACTTATTCTTCTAAAGCTTCTTTAATTTATTTTATTATCTAAAAAAAACCAAGAATATATTTTAAATAAATTCTATAAAAATAATCTTTAGAAACTCTTCCTACTTTATTTATTTTATTTTTCGCCCAATGAAATCCCTTATTTTGCTGCATTTATCCCATAAATAAAAGCAGAACTAAGCTCCCCAGCATAATGCCCAGGCACAACTCGCAAGGATATATATCTATACCCACCATATCCTTGGAGTTTTCATTGAGCCCGAGCTGTGATAGATTTCCATCGCATTCGGCGCATGTAAACATCGGCTTTTGTTAATCAAATTAAGTGCAAGTTAATGGTGCCGAGCTCCCTTCACAAGAGTTATTACAGCCCATCATCTTGGGGTCTCCGTGGTGTGTTTGCACACTCGAAAATGATGAATAATAAATCGCTAATCATAAATATTGCGAAATCAGGCGAAAAAGAAACGAAGAGCAGGAGAAGAGGGTTTTTTACACGCCAAAAAGCAAAACAATACCGAAAGTACACATTGTTAAATTGAAAGGAAACAAATGTAAAATTTATACAGCTGCAGTGCGCGCCCCGGAGAAGCTTTGATTCATCCCGAAAACTTTGAAGGATGCAAAATCGAAGGAAGGGCAAATGGGGGGGCGAAATCGCCCTAATGGTCTATGCTCTGTGTGTGTTCAAACATCCTTGAATGGAATGAAGCTGGCTGCTCCTTCTTGCTCTTTTTTTCTGTCCAAAATTATGTACTCTGCTTGGTTTTCCGTTGAATGCAGGGATATGATTAATTTAGCGTTATCAAATTGATTGGATTAAAGCTGAGAGGGAAAGGAATTGGTCCTGTGATTCATGGAAGAGCCATAAATAAGCCTGAAATGGTATTTATTTTTGTCTTTGAAAGGGAGTAGGAGGAAGTCCCTGCTGTAATAGGTTTGTTTTGGCCAAGAAATTATATATTTACTTAGTAGATTAGCCTAAGAAAGGGCCTGGCTGTATTTTTTAATGAACCAAAATATTAGTATATTATAAATAAATATTCAGAAATTATTTCTACCTAAACATATACTAAATTATGTTAATTTTTATAAATATTTTGTTATTTTTTGCCCTAAAATCCTTGTACAAAGTCCCCTTAAACCTCCCCTCTAAATCGCACACCCATTTAAGTCTTGATTTCTCCCCAAAAAAATACAAAATCCAATAGCCAAACTTCGAAATGGTTATCTGACCACAATTACCCAACAAGCTGCCACCTAACAGGCGACTTTTCCACCCGCCGCACCCCCACTTGAGCTCTAGTGCGAGTAATTAGCGTTTGGAGGAGGAAAATCAATACAATCTGAGCGAGGGAACAACACAATCAGTACTAGAACCAGAAACAGAAACAGAACAAGAATCGAAATCAAAATCAAAATCCGGAACCGGGGTTACGTGTTTTGCGGGCCACAAATGCCAAATTGTCCAAACGGGCAATCAAAGCGAGACCGAGTGCGAGTGACCAAATCTGAAATCGTCTAGCAGCTGCCAAGTTTCTCATGAGAAGGAAGGCACTGAGGGAAAAGTATATACAAATATTTAAAATATAAATAATATTATATAAATATTTGTAAAATTATACACAAGAAATATAAAAGCCAAAAATCTCTCTTAAAACCTTCACTAGTTTAATATTTTCTAAATATTTTCCCCTGATTACCTCTTCTGAATTTCTCTCTCTGTACAGGACCCTTAACAAAAGTCAAGTGCAGTCGCTGGTCTGATTGCAGTTAAACCAAAAGCGCCCAGTTGGCCAGTAACAGTAACAGTGAACAGCGTTTTAGCCAGGAGCAGTGACCAGCAGCAGCAGGGTGAAAAAAAAAACGTTCAAAAGGTAAATCTGCGCGGTCTGTTCCAGGGAGAAAAATATTCGCAACATTTACGCAGGAGGAGAGCTGGGGACAGGGAAGCTGCATTTAATTAAATTTCCTGTTGTTCGATGCCTACTTTGGCGAAACAGAAACTGTTGCACATGCAGCCGCAAAATGTTGGCTGGCGCTGACACCACCACCAGCCAGGAACCAGGAACCAAGAACCACCAACCGAGCCACTTGGAGGCACTGCCTCCCCTTCAGTGTGTCTCTCCTGGTCTCTCCACTTGTGCAAATAGTACAAATAACAATAACACCAGCGAGTGGCAACAACTAAAAGCCAAACAATTTGCAGCATCTTGCCAAGAAAACATCTGCGAGCAACAGCAGTAGAGGGGCTAAGGAAAATATTGAGGAAAACCAGAACGAAGGGAAAATGCTCTTTATTGTATTTTTAAAAATTAAAAGGAACTTTAGAATGAAAGCTGTAAGCCTTTGGGTGGAAATTCAAGGCTTAAAGCCTGGCTGAAAATAAGAGTTAATGACTTTTTAGGGTCAAAAATAATTGTAGAGTTTATTTTGAAATGGAAGTCTTGTCTCTGGTATAAGGATAATTGTTAACAAAAGCATTTCCTGACATTTCAAAAATACTATATTAATATTTATAATTTATTTACATCACAAAATCAATACCCCTTTCATATGTTAGAGTATTGTTAGCATCTCCTGTTCCGTGGACAGTAAAATGGTTCTGCGAATTGTTGCCGCATTCAGCGGAAATGCAAGCTGAGTTAGCTGTATGTTGTAGTCCTTGCTGCGAGGCTTCCTGCTCCTGCTCCTCCTTCTTGTTGGTCCTGCGCTGGTTATTCGTGTTGTGTCTGGTGGCATGGCCCATGAATATTCATGGCGTTTGCCGGGGCAGTCATTCATTCATTCGTGATTTCACGCAAAAAGGGGGTAAGATGCTGCGGAAAACAATGAAGAGGAATGGCACAAGACAAAACATGAAGCCAAATAAATAAACAAATGTCAAGCCATGTTTGTTGCTGTTGCTTCTGTTGCTGCTGCTGAGGGCGGACACGAAAGCCAAGAAATTGGCGTGAAAATAAATCAAGAAATAAATTGGAAAATTTGTTATTTCAACGAGTGAACAAGAACGGCAATAGTTTCGAGGCAAGTTTCTGGCTAAAAGGAATCGTTGTTCGTTCACTTTGTGAATAAATTGATCGGAATTGGTTTTGGTTGGGAATACGTGCGGTTACTTGTCCCATTATCGATGGTTTATCATGGGTTATAATGGGTTTTTGTTACAAAAATGTTTAAATTATAGAGAAATATAGATAAATGTAGTCTTACTCAAGGATACAAGATTAAGAGAGTCTCTAAGGATTTTTAGTAAGCAAGTTCATGTGAAGAAATATTTTTAAAATATTTTTTAAGTACTCATTACCTTTTCTTTAAATTTAATTTTACCTATAAGTCTTTGGAGGACTTTTAAAATATTAAAAAAATATTTTTCCTGTTCGTTGTCCTCATAAAATATTTTTTAAAAATATTCTAAAGTCTCCTTCTTTTTTATTTCCTTAATTTAACTATGCTTTAATCCTGCTGTACTTCTCTATATCTTAATCCCTTCACCAACACTTTAATTTTCCGATTTTCCCCTACGCTTGTCTTCTCATTTTCCTTTGCCATTTCCAGAGAAGGTTAAGTCCTGAGTTAAATGGGTTTCCATAGCCTGCAGAACTCTTTCTCTGCCTTTCAACCAATAACAATTCGTAGGGCCCACAAAGTGAAGGCCAATTAAAATGTCCTTTAAGCGTTTCTGCAATATTAATTAACATGCAAAAGGCAGCAACGCACATGTATTCTTAACAGAAAAAAAACACCCAGCAAATAAAAAACAGAAATAAAAAGCAAGTGCAATGTTTGGCAATCGAGTCGAATTGAGGTCGCCATGGGTGAGGCCAAGGGTCAGTGGAAATGCCTTTATTTAATTGCAAAATATTACATTTTTAAACAATATCCATTAAAAGTGGCAGCAGCAGCAGACTTGGCTGCTTAAGCTGCACTCCCAAATATATATATATAAACTCCACCCCCGATATCAACTGCCAAAGGTAATCAACTCGCCTTCGCATTCGCAGAACGAAATGTTGAAAAATTCAACAAAAAAAGAAAAGGTTTTAATGTTGCCCATGTGCAGCGAGGAAAAAGTGGGGGCTGCTCCGCCCATGTCTGAGTCTGGCAAGCACAAGTTCGCGTCTGGACCTTTGTCCCTGGCTGGACTGTGGAGTGGATTCCACAGAGAGAGGCCTGGGCCGCCGGGTGGGGTCATTTACTTTGAGTGTTCGACGCTCATTTAAATGCAAATTTAAATGAAATTTTAATCCAGTTTTAAGGACGCAGTTGGACACTCTCCGGCGAAGCCTTTGATGTGTGTCCAGCTCATCTAGCCAGGGGACACGGACACTCTGGGGCACCTTATTGGCTGGGGATTGTTCGATTGTGGTCTACTTTTTGGGGTCTACTGATAGCTTCTTGGGTTATTGGAAGGAATATAAAGAGTTATATATAGTTATAAATATATAATATACCATATATATTTTTAAAAAGTAAAGGCTTCAAAATGATTTTGAGTTTAAAGAAACCCCAAACTTATGGCGATGGCGAAGGAGAAGGCTCCGAAAACTCCTCATCAAAGATCCCAGCTGCAGTCTGAATCTCCCTCCAGCGTTCGGTAACAGAGGCACCACCCCGGATCTCATAGTCATCATCATTCTCATTCACCTTGGGCTTTTCCACCATCGAGGGCGGCTTCACGGCGGCATGTTTCATTAGATTAAAATCGCAGCGTTTGCAGTACATGTGCTCCTTTTCCCGCGGCTCAAAGCGCTGATCGCAAATGGCGCACCTTTTCAGGGGCAGACGGCACCGAGGGCAGCGATGCTCCTGCTTGGAGAGCTCGACCCAAGGAAATCTGCGAAAGCATTGGGTGCACAGGTACAAGGTGTCGTGGGAGTTCATATCGAAGTTTTCTGGGTGTAAAAAATAGTGAAAAATTAAAACAAACTTGAGGAAAATCTAAAGAAACAAACCCAATGAAAGCAGCTTTTAATTCTCTTAAATATTTAAAGTTTGACAGCTTAAAAGCCAAGGCTACTAGCTGATAACACAAAAAACACCTGCAAAAATCGATTTCTTTATCGATTTCTTTCTTTCTTTCAACACTTTAAGTGTTGGACAACAAAAGAACCGTTTTTTTGCTGATCGAAAAATCTCCTTAATATGTGGACCATCCAATTACCAATTTAAGCGCCATCTCTTTACCAAGCGAGTGCCACTCGTAAATGAAAATCCTTAACTAAGTTAATGCCCGACCACAATGACGATGATGCTGAGGGATATAGCCCACCGATCCCTGGGTCATCAGCCTGCCATTTCTCGCACACTGATTGCATTTCGTGTCATTCAATGGATTTACTCTCGCCCGAGCTGTGCTGCTCCTGCCGCATCCACCATCAGGCATAATTTACAGCGCATTAAAATCTCGAACGATGATGATTTATTATTGTCCTTGTCCCATGTCCTGCAACCTGCCGCACCGCAGAAACATATTTAAAGCGACGTATTTATATTTTAATGAACCGAACAGAATCAGAGGCCGTGTGCGGCTATAAAAAATCAGAGCTTAACCATGGTACAATGCTCGGCGGGGGCTTGCAGGACAAATTATGAAGTTTGTCCTGCAATCAGGAGGGGAGTTGCCTGTAGTCACATGTGTAGCACTCACTGTAATAATGCAGAGTGTGTGTGCTTTGGGATCCTGCAGCAAGTGCTATCGACAGAGGATTACTGTCACTGGTAAAAGGTCTCTGAAGAGTGGCAGGTGTTCTTTTATTGATTGATTTTTTATTTAAAAATATTAAATAAATATTTAATTATTCTAAAAAAGTATTAAGAAAATAATTAGCTCATAAAAGAACTAAATTTCAAAAGAAAAAAACCCTATAACCCATTACTCACTTTCTAAAAATCAAAGAGAACAAATCTTGCACATATTCTTCTTCCATCCCCTCAACACTTTTCCCGCCCATTAGTTTAGCCAATTAATTTCCCTAAAAACTTGCTCTTGAAAATCCTTTGCAGAAGGACAAAATGCAGCTGAAAATTAACGACAGCTCGCCGACAGCAGCGAGAACAACATCTCCTTCTCGGAGGACCAGTTGGGATGGCAACGACTCCCTGCTTACCTCCTCGACGGCATCGCTTGAACCGCCGCCGCAGGATAAGCGGAGGTCGGGTCCTGGACTCCTGATTTTTCCCGGCACCGCGCAAAGGCATCAGCATCAGCATAATCCCAATGGCAGCAAAACAATTGCGAAAGCTAATGACGAGGACGTGGCCATTAATCAGCTGGGACGCTGTGGCAGGACGACGACCAGGAGTATACGCTCCTTTCGCCGTCCGCCGCTGTGGCAGGCACCGCCAAAGGACCAAGAGGAGCCAGAGCCAGAGCCAAAGCCAGAGGAGGCCCTAGATCGACGTAATCGGCGGGAGAGGCGGCGAGTCGTGTGTCTGGCCAAAGTGCAGGCCTTCATAATCGAGTTCCTGCAGGGATCCTCCATACACGGCTTCATCTATTTGGCCAAACTGGGCTTGAATTTCGTCGAACGGTGAGTCCTTTGAAAGGGGTTTTGAATGGGAAAGCTAATGGAATTGGAACCGTGAGAGGACAGAGGTTTTAATGAGGAAAATGGCAGGGAAAAGTTAAGGTAACCCGTCTAAAACTCAACCAAAAATTAACTAAAATTTCTTTAATTAAATTTGGGGCAAATTCAGCTTCAAAAAATAATTAAATTTCAGCTGCTAAAAACCTCAAAAATGTTCGGGGAGAACCAACTTTGAAACCTTGATCTTATTAATCAAATATTTGGTTAAGCGGCCACAACAGGAACTCAGTCAACATTTCCACTCAATTAATTTACAAGCGAAATTAGGGCTAAGCCTCATTACGGCCAAGGGAGACGGGGGAGAGAGGCGACCGCAGGTTTAACTTTTACACGGGATTACCCCTTTTTCGAAAACCATAAAGTGCCAACCAAAACGATACGGAAAACTATAAGTCGAGGACTTAAAAAAGGACTGCCTTGTGGCCACGTGCAGGGATTCCAGGCGGGGTCCTGAAACTAAAGGAAGTGCGTGATTTTCACCCCTCCACACAACATTTTCTCCAAGGGAAATACATTTTTCTACATATCTTCTTCCGCTGGGGAAGGTGGTTCCTGGATCTGCGTTGGAATTTATATTTTTGTGCGGTGCAATAAATCCTTAAAACTGACATGACATGACAAACAGGATTACACACACACAGGACAAGGGAAAAAGAGAGCGAGAGAGTGGTGAAGAAAGCGAGGAATATATAGAAATACTCTGCCTGCCTCGGCCCTAGCAAGGCTTAAATTGGCAACACTCCACCGAAAGTGGCCAGGAGGAAGAGCAAAAGGATGCCAGTGCGGATGCGGACAAGGTTGCTGGTGGGGGGAATCTGTCAGGGTTGCCGACTGAGGGTTAATTAGTGGATAACAGCCAGGCCAAGGACAGGGCCAAGCAGGCACTGAGAGAAATGGAAAGGGAAATGGAGTTTAAATAAAGGAAATTAGAAGAAATAAATGTATAGAGAAGAAGTAACTTATATACTTAAAACCATTTTATATTAAAAAGTAGTTATTAGTACTCCCCAATTATTTTTCCCAGTGCCTCCACCCTCTATGAATTTTCCCCCCAAAAATCATGAGGCTCAATTACAATTATTGTTAGTTTCGCCGCCAGAAACGAAACCCAACTGACAGGTGTTGGCCCTAGGGTCTCCTCCGGGGCCAAAGGTGGGCTCCATCACCGAAAGGCAGAAAAGGAGGTCACGCAAGAGCTTTGCTTTAATTAATATACTTTCCCCCCAAGCCTAGACACCTCCTTCTTGCTTTCAGGAAAATGATTTGTAGAACATTTTTCATGGGAAATTTATTTCTTTGACCAATTCCACTTGGCACAATTTGGATTTATTTCAGACCCCAACAAAAATATGCAGAATGGGAAAAGGGGGGAAAATATGCTTTTGCCATGACAAAAAATCAGCTTGTGACGCACAAATTTCTGGATTATGCCAGCAGGAACAACTCCAACCCGAGAGCCAGACTTAAGCCCTTTCTCGCTTCTTTTCCCCCCAATAGCTGCTCTGAATGAAAGGGAGCTCACAAAACATACAAAACACCAGGACGGGGGGGAAAATGCATAAACCTGAGAGAAAGAGTCTGTGTCGCTGACATGTGATAACCTCAATTTCACAAGCGTTGATATGGTAACTATGAGGGCTTTGCCGCCGCCGCCACCCCCAGCGACAGGTGCACGATTGCATAATCCACAGCCGAAAACTGGAAACTGGAAAACTGAAAACAGAAAACTGAAAATCGGAAAACAGCAAATGCAAATGCAAAACACGCAGCGGCGTAGAACGCACCGGATTACTATATACTAAGGGGTGTCCTCTCCACTGGGGGGCCATCCGCAAATCTATGGCAGGGCATCGAGCTTTCGAGTGCCCTCAACTTAAACCCTTTCATTTGCGGTAATTGCGTTTTCCCAAACCGGAAAATATGGTGTGAAATAAAGCAATAGATAGTTTAGGCAAAAATCGAGAACTAAGTACTTAAAAGGGTTTTATTTATTTAGAGTTTTTGTTTGATTTTGAGTGCTGAGAAGTATATATATAATTTTTGTTAACAGAAGTGGGTTATTGAAGAAGAACGAATAAGCTTTAGTTTGCTTATATATTAAATTTATTTTAAATTACTTATTCAGGTTGTTTATAAGTCAAACATTTAAGAAATTAGGTCACAAAACAGCTACAAAGATTCCATATATTTTTCTAAAATCTCAAATTAAGGATTTCACCCCTGAAATTTCATATACACAATTTTTAGTACCTCTTCCCACCTCTAATTTAAATCTTAAATCTTAAATTTTGCTGTATTTTAACATTCCTTATCCCTCTATCAGACTTTTTTCAATCGCATATCTCCAGCAGCTCGGAAATATGTGAGAGTCCAGAAGCTCTAAGCCGAAATCCGAGAGAAAACCACCCTTTCATGGCATATTGCGGCATCAGACATGCATCACTGGGCCTCATTCACGCACAAATTGTATGCATATGAGTGGCGAGATGATGAAACAAAGCAAATACATAAATTGCAGGCCAGACTGACGACTGGGGGAGCGGAAAGTGGGGGGAAAATGATGTGGGAATGGGAATGGCAATGGAAATGACAATGAGTCTGTCATATGTGATGTCCAAAAGGAATTTTGTGGTGTTAGACAAAGTACTGCAGCAGCAGCAGCACTCCGGCTGTCAGAGGAGAAAATTCCAAAAAATACCACAGAGACTTTCTAGCGAAAATAATAATAAAGCGAGAGTTGCAAGAAAATGTTTGGGGAAAATTAAAAGCCAAGGAGCACTGGGAGAGAGAGAGAGCTTTATGAGCCATTCCTGGCATCAAACTGTCATTGTGGAAAGAAGACATTCTCGCCAGCAAATGGAAAGGATTTTTGGCGACTTCTGTCTGGTCTGTCTTCCTGCCAGTTTGTTTGCGGTGCCTTCGTCCTTATTCCTGCTTCAAACAAAGACCAGAAAAACTTGTAAGAAAAAATAAAAGGAAGTCCTGGCAAAAGGGTTGCCGAGGCATTGATGCGTTCATTGACTCTGCCATAATTCTTTCGTCGCGAATATTTCGCATGGTGCTTACACCAAAAATTTACACGCAATAGATTTTTATGTCCCATGGCAGAGTGCACATTCAACAGCAGTGCGAATTATATTCCCAAATATCCATATATCATTTCAGACACTGCCGCATTTTTTAGCCTTTTTTAACATTTCAAATTCCTTGATTTCATGTTGCTTTCCATTTTTGAAGGATGCTCTGGTTTGCCTTTATTTGCGTGGCTCTGTTCAGCATTATCTCGCTGAGCAAGAGGACCTGGCATCGCTTTCAGACCTCGCCCATGGTTATATCCATGGATCGGAACAAGTTGGTGTGGAATACCAGCTTTCCCTCCTTGACAGTGTGTCCTCACAAGAGGATTGACGAGTTGAAGGTGGAGGAGTACATACTGTAAGTTGGGACTAACCTGACTAACCTTTAAACCCTTTTCAAAATCCTCTCAAAACCCAACCCAATTGCAGTGCCCACCCGGAGCAGTTTGAGTCCGAGGAGGATCAAGAGGACTTCCGCGATTTTATTGTGAAACTTGCCAGCCTCACATACGACAACTTGGAGACTTTGCCGCTGAACAAATCGTACGGGATACCGAGTAACAAGTACTTGGACTTGCTCTACGAATTGAAATGGCCCTTCGAGCCGGAAATCAGCAGCGGCGCCGCCGTCAAAATGTTCATCTACGAGACACAAACGGAGTTTGGCATTTGCCATTCAGTCAACTCGCTGGTGGCTCGCTACAATTCCTTTGAGTGGGTGCAGGGAATCACTTGATATTTTTCCCGGCTTTAAAATGGTTCCATTTCTTGGCAGCTACTGGCGTTCCGGCGACTGGAGCATCCTGGATCATGGAGATCGGGTGACGGTCCATCCCCTGGATGGTGAGATCTATGCTCAGATTATAAATCTCTCTACGGCGTATGATGTGTACTTTCATGGGGCTGGGGATGTGCCCAGCATATCGAAGCAGAGGTATACCTTTCCGGAGAGTGACTATACGACAGTGGAGCTGATAGCCCTGGAGATTTACACCAACGAGGAGGCCAGAGCGTGAGTTCAAATTTAATTAAATATATTTTTATAAATTATAATTAAACCTTTCGCTGAGTTAATAGCTTCAACACCAAGCAGAGGAGCTGCCGCTTCAACTACGAGGCGGAGGAAATGATGACCGTGCCCATCTACAGCTTTGGACTCTGCCTGTCCGAGTGCAGAATGTTTTTCGCTCTGCGGGTCTGCGGCTGCATTCCGCACTTCTACCGGAACCGCTGTGGGTATAATCATATTTTCGGGACACAGAGTTGCACTTAATTGGCCCCCCATTAAAGTTAACTTTTATGCGCCGGACTCGGGGCTGGCTGCCGCCCAGTTTTATGGCGCAAATTCGGTCGTAAAATGTTTAAATACTCGTAGTTTAAGTGGCAACTTTTTTGCCCGATTATCTGTCTTCCTTTCTCCCAATTTTTCCTCCGCTTTATGCTTTATTATTTCCAGTGCGAAACGGACGGAAATTGCCGGTCTGCGGACTGGAGGGCATCGAATGCCTGGTCAAAATTAAACGTGAGTAATTTCCATCTTCCAGGGTTCTCCGGGAACATGCAAATATTTAGCCAGCCCCGGAAATTCGATTTGAATTTTTTTCGGATAGAAATTTCCCAGAACGTGACCATAATTTAATTTTTATTCAGCTTTTTGTGGGGTGTTTGGGATGGTCAAAAGTCAAGGCTAAGTTAGGCCACCTGTTGAGTAATTGGAGTGGCGGAAATAATTTGCTTAGGGGACAGCTAGCAGACGGAAGATTATCTGACAGGTTGACATTGATAAGCTGGCTAAATGTTTTGAAACTAACTTGTTTAATATTAAAAAGGGGGAGGTGTTTTTGTTTTTAAGCTTACCATATGTTAGTCTTTTTATAATATAATTCCCAACTGGTTCTAGCAATCCTATAATCAAGTAAAAGTGGCGAGCACATTTGGATATGTTTTTGTAAATAGAATAAGTGTTTTATTTACCTTATTTTTATACAGTTTTATTTAAATATTTCAATATTAACTTGTAGAACATATTCCTTCTCCCCTCAGGCGAAATAATCTCCCTAAAATCGGACAGATATAAAATCAATTGCAATTGCCTGGCCAACTGCGATGACTCCAACTTCTTTGTGCAATCCTATGTAAGTATAAAACACATATAGCCCCGCTTATAATAATAAAAAATAAACGAGAAAAAACGGCGTATACCCTATTAAAAAATATATAAAGTAAACTTTAACTGTAAAAATGTTTATGGCAAACAGAAGCGGCATCTAGTGCTCGTTAAGTGGCAACTGCAGACGCCGCTGCGTCGCGCATTTCAAGTGGAAAAATGCCCGGAAAACTGAGGAAAATCCGCGGGAATAGCCAGAACGAACATTTCGGGGGATGGGGCGATGCTTTGCCTTAAACAAACATCAAAATTGTAGTCCGGGGCTATAAAAAATAATAAGCGCAGAAGTTGCAGGAACTGGGCGCCTTGAAATATGCAATTATTTTCGGGGGCTTGGCCAACCGAAAGTTTCTGTTTAACTTTTTTCGCGCTGTGTATGTGTGTGTGTGTGCGGCGAAAGTTTTTACATTTAATAACAATTTTTGCTTACTTTGCCTTGTTACCAGAATGATGATGATGATGCAGATGATGTACATAGATGATGATGATATTGTTCTCGTTTTGCTTTTGTTTTTAGTTCTGCGAGTTTTCTTTATATATACTTTTGTCTTTATTTTAAACATTTCCTTGGGATTTCCCACAGCGTTCGCGTGTCTGGTTTCTGGGCGCTAATCTTCAATGGGGCATAATTGATTATCCCAAAATGCAGCTCCGCCGGGATGTCCTCTTCTCCTTTGCCGATGTTTTGGGTAAGTTTTTGGGTTGATTACTGGACTTTTACTTTCTTTAATTTATTAATTAATTTATTTGAATATTACACAGTTTACATAGGCGGCCTGGTTGGATTTTTTCTGGGCTGCAGTGCTCTGAGCTTCACGGAAATTGTTTACTATTTTACGGCTCGATTTGTGAGGCGAATGTTTTGTCGTTGACTTTATGCTTAATACTAATTTTATAGTAAACTCAAGAGCAAGTACAACTTTAATATATATTTGTATAATCTTATTCATTGACAAACTTAGGAAGCTATTGTAATGCACTTATTTTCTAGATATTCCTGGTTTATTATCAGTTAGTTTGTTGCTTAAAATACAGGCTTAAAATGTTATGAATGCCTTTGAGAACTTATAAATATTTTAAATATAAATAAAAAGAAATACTTATAGGAGAAAACATAAAGGTAAAAGGTAGTAAATGTATAAAAATAAATAGTAATATATCTTTTAATTTATAGAATTTTGTATACTTTTTTCAAGGCTTCCTAAAAGTATTATTTTCCCTATTTGTCAACAAGCAATTTCTCCCTAAAATAACTATATAAAATGGACTATATCCCTCCGATCTCTTAGACATATATCCCCACACTTAAACCTGCCTAATCACGCCAACTGCAGGCTTCATCTTTTTATTGGCCAAACATAAACAGCGGGGGGAATCGCTCTCGCTCTCTCGCCTAATCTATAATAAAATACAATTGTGCAAAGTTGGCGAAAATCATACCGAGAAAAGTTGTGAAGCTGCCCAAAAATGTTTTCCACCTCATCATCATTGAGCCTTCATTGTCCATGTTTCGCTGCTGGCATTTCAATGAACATGAACTGTTTACTTCTCCAAAATGGGGGGGAGCCTGGCCAGGACGACGACAAATTGCGCTCCTTTTGTATTTTTGCTAACCTTGTCGGATTTTATTATTGGGCTCCGTCGTCCGTCGCCAGACATTGAAATGAACTTTTTCCGTCTTGTTTCACATGTTGGATGTGTGTGCTCTTAATATTTGAAGAATAATTTTGTAGTGGATAGCAAGTTATTTAGCTGTGTAGCTTTTGCTTTGTTTATTTGGGTGGAAAAATGGTACAGTGGGGATTCAACAAGTGGGTAATAGGTACTTTAATTATAGTAAAAATAGTGGAAAGTATTACATGATAATGTAAATGAATGTCAGAGTTCTTTAGAATTTTTGTAAATATTTTAAATATAGCAGAAAACTTAATTTTAATTCTAAATAAGTTTTATAATGTGGGAAACTTCTCAAGATTTTCTATTAAAGTGTTTTTAGTAAAATAAATTAATAATAAAATTATTAAAATGCCTCAAAATATGCAATTTAGTGACTGTTTTCCTATATTTTGTGTTCTAAATTACCGAATATACCTCAAATCCCCTTGAATTTTCACCTTAAATTACTCTTTCTTAATTTTATATTAAATTTAATATTTCTTTTACCAAAAACTCTAGTTCTTCTTAGCCAATTCCCCCTGTTATTACGTTCTATTGGCAAGTCCCTAAATTCTTGTCCCCTGACAATCACATTTCTTGGTGTATTTGTCTTGACTTTTCGCACAACTGAGTGAACTGTGACTGTCAACAAATAAATGCCGAAAAACTATAGTTAAGAAAGCTCATGAATTTATGCTGGCTTTTGCTCCTTCATTCGATTCTGTCGCGTCATCAATAAATGAGTGGGAAATGTTCGAGTAAACTGGGTCATCGGAGGAAATATTACTGGCTGCTAAGCTTCAGTAGATCTGCGAGAAGAATCAAACTTCTCGTCTGAGCGTAACAATGGCAAAATCTACATTTCAATGGCTTCATATTTTTTATGCAAAAAAAAACCACCCACCTCCTATCAAATCTCAAAGGGATTGTCGAAATGTGTGTGTGTGTCTTTGCACCTTTGCTGAAATGGGGAAAAGGGAGGAAAAACCACAATCCACACGAGAATTTCTCTCCATCGCCTGGGACTGCATTTTAAATGAATAAAAGCGAAAGGGATGATTTTTTTTGGAGCCAAACTTTGCACTTTGAAGTGTTTTTCGGGGGCTGCTGAAAGGGTGTTTGTCGTCGTTCCTCATTTTCTCATAACGCATAAATTACGGAATTATTGAAATTTATTGTTAAAAAATTGCCACTGGCATTGTGAGTGAAGTTGGAGACTACTTTTTGGTTAGGGTTTTTTTTCTTCTTTAAAAGAACCTTTCATTGTCATAGTTAAGCCGAGAAAATTGCTGGGATTTTGTTGCAAATTTCAGTGGGGAATTGATAAATTACCTTGATAAACCCTTGATAATGTGTGGATTATGTTTTAAGAGGGGTGGATTTTAAATTAAAGGAATTGTTTATTATTTTTAAGGCGAAAGCTAACTCTATCTTAACTTTTTATGGTTAACAAGAAAGAAAGCTAACTTTGGCCAGCCAAAGTTTGTATACCCTTGCAGGTAACAATTAAAATATATCATAACTAAGCCAAAAATGCATTAATTTCGATTCGGAAAGCAGTTTTGTGTTAGTTTTTATTAATTAAAAAAAACTGCATACCAAATTTAAAATTTTAGGAAATCAAAATTTCTTCCGGATATGTCTAGAAAGATTCCCCTGTTGATGCTGATCAAGAATATATATGGTTTATGGGGTCGGAAATGATTCCTTGACTTAGAAAAATATTATTTTTTATTATAAAATCGGATTTTTTATATTAAAAACTTCTTGATTTTTTTAAAATTAAAAATATCATAACTTGGCCAAAAGAGCATTAATTTTAAATCGGTAAACTGTTCTGTGCAAGATTTTCTACAGTTAATAAATCTGCATACTTCATTTAAAAATTTTGAAAATTCAATTTTTTATCAAAATCAAAAATTTTAATGAAATTTTGCAAAAATGGCCAAAAAATCGATTTCTTCCTGACATATCTAGAACGATTCCCCTGTTGATGCTGATCAAGAATATATATACTTTATAGGGTCGGAAACGTCTCCTTCACTGCGTTGCAAACTTCTGACTGAAATTATAATACCCTGCAAGGGTATAAAAAACACTTTAAATTAAAATTAATTTTTTAACATTTTTAAATATATTTTCCGCTTCCGTTTCCGCTTTCCGTTAGCGCCATCTATCAGGATTGACTACAACTTGAAATCGAATGGCTTAGCTAAGTTTTTGTAATCGATTAATCGATAATTTATTTGACAAGTAAAACATTAATTTGACCATTTATCATAACCGCTATCTGGCCACACTCTTAAATTTCCAAAACTAAAAAAAAAAAAAAAAAATAAAAAAATATACAAAAATAGATTGTTAAACAGCGTTGCAAGCTGCAGAGAAATGCAAAAAGCGCCACCCTGGCAAGGTCAAGCTGCCAGCGAGGCAGCGCAGTCAGCGGCGGCGGTGAAAGGCATAGACTACGAGAAAGTGGCCAAAAAAACACTGATAAGGGGCGAGGACATGTTTGCCCCTCGTAGGATTTGCCTTTTGGGGGCGCTCCTGGGCCTGCTCCTCCTCCTGCTGCCGGGCAGCGAGGCCACGCACATCAGCGGCCAGTTCCAGACGGCCGACTTCTTTCAGTTCCTGGTCAAGTTCGGCTTCAACAAGGCGGATCCCCAGAGGAGGAACGCCTATGGCTACATCTACGGCAATGTCACCTCGCCGGACAAGTACGCGGCTCCGCTGACGCTGGTTGTCCTGGACAGGAGCACCTTTGTGGAGTTCTATGGGAACAGGAGTAACCGGAGCCGGGAGGTGGCCTGCTCGGGCATGTTCTCGCGCCTGCAGAGGATTGCCTACGATTCCAGGTGTAATCCGAGGGCCAAGAGGGACTTCTTGAGGCACGTGCCCTGTCCGAGAGGAGAGTTGTGTGGCGACGAGGATGCGCCAAGCAATGTGGTGCCCGGATCGCAGTTTACCTATGTTATTAATTTGGAGGCGGAACCAAGGTGAGTAATTTGTTTCTTTTCCTGATTTATTTATTCCTTAAAAATGTGAATCTATCTTTTCCCTTTGTAAAAAATGCACAAAAAACGCTTCATATATAACAACTATCTGTTTATTTCTTAAACAAATAAAGCAACGTTTACTTCCTGTCAAGATAAATGCATTATCTGCTTGGCTTTCATTATAAACATTTGCCAGCAAGTCGATTATTACTTTCTTTATCTTATTTTTAACAAAAGAAAAATCAAATGGTGCCCTTTTCTATATTAAACCATCAAATTCACTAAAACAAACCCTCTTCCCCCAGATTCTGGTACCTCTCCCTGGTGGCCTGCTACCAAAACCAGACCACCTGCCAGTGGCATGCCCACGAGAGCCTCCCGCGACTGAGCAACCAGAGCAGCAAGCTCCTCAACACCCTCGACTACGACATCCACTTGGTTAACATCCATCCGAACCACTCGGCGGCCCATCCGCTGACCTATCAGTACTCGTACGATCAGCAGAATCTGCTGGAAATGTACCTCATCTTCCTGCTGGTCTACATAGTCCTCCTGCCCATGCAGATCTACGCGGTGCGCCGGCAGAAGCATCCGGTGACCAAGCTGTTTACGCTGAGCCTGCTCAGTGAGTTTGTCAGCTTGGCCCTGATCACTGCCCACCTGATCCACTATGCGGCCAATGGAGTGGGGGAGCCGCGGCTGCAGGCGGCAGGCGATGTGCTGGACATACTGAGCCGCACCAGCTTTATGCTTATACTGCTTTTGTTGGCCAAAGGATGGGCTGTGACGAGGCAGCAGATAAGCAGAACGGGATGGATCATACTCATGTCCATCTGGGTGCCATACTGCGCGTTCCATGTGTTCTTGTACATCTGGGATAGGGTGAGTTTTTGATAGCTTAAATTGAGAGTTTAATCTTTAATTTAAATATTTACTTTTCCTTACAGACGGAGGTGGATGTGGTCTCCGACATAGACGAGTACCAGACCTGGCCTGGATGGATAGTCCTGATACTGCGGTGGGTTTTCTCCCTTTCAAGACCTCTGAAATCCTTCTTATATTTCTATATTCCTCCCCCCACAGCACCTCCTTCATGATGTGGTTCCTCTACGAACTCCGCAACACCATGAAGTACGAGCATTCCACTAAGAAACTGGACTTTCTTCTCCACCTGGGCGCCTCCAGCCTGGTGTGGTTCATCTACCTGCCCATTGTGGCCATTGTTGCGCTGCAGGTCAGCCCCATGTGGCGCTACAAGCTTTTGCAGGGTATTACCAACTCGGCAGACTGCATGGCCTACTGTGTGATGACGGGCCTGCTGTGGCCGCACAGAGCGGGCCAATATCTGCTCCTAGCAGGCACTAAATATGCCGGTGAGTGGCTCTTATATACCAACGGGATTTCCTTAGATCTTATATTTGATATTTTTCAAGGCATGGATGAGCTGGACGAGTTCAACGAGGCTCCGCATATAGTGAGAGAGCGCGAAAGGCGTCGCAACTCCCCGCCCGACGACATTTCCATAGGCACAGGCAGCGGTGGAGGTCGCGGCATGGTCCTGTCCACCAGCATTCCAAATTCTCTGAATGGCGATCTGCTGGAGGCCGAGGATCTGGATGCCGAGCTGCTCACTGATCTGAACAAGAACAGCCACATTGTGGCGTAAGAAGCGGGCTTAATTCCTTAGCTGTAGTAGTCAATTGTGCTAAAAACAGAGCAAGTGGACCATCCCTTCACTTGCTTATAGAGGTAGCTGTATTGAGGTGGGTTGGGTTTATAGTTAAGGATAACAATTCCAAACGGAACCTCTTTTTAGACTCCCACAAAACTAATGTGACTATAAATTTAAACCAACCCCCTTCAAGCCAGCTACAAAACCCAACTTCGTGTATATTCCCACATAGTTAGTAGTCAGCGTAACCTACAACGAAGTCAGAGCGATTGTTGTGTGATTTTTATGTATGTATTGTGCTTGAATTTACAATTAGTTTCTAGTTAACGCCTAGGACAACAACGCTTCATTCGGCATCAATCCATTCGTTGCGGTAGCTAACATTTTACAGCGGCAACTACTACCGTCTGCCTATAAAGATAAGGCCACATCGACTCCCCCAACTAACCCGGCGGTATTTTGATAAGAACACAACTGAGAAAACAAATATGGAAAATGCAAACTGAAAAAGATAGTGGAAATAAATGAACGATTTTTAAGATAAGTACCAACGGGAGGCAGCTTTGATTTGCTTTCTAGTGAGTTGTGAATTGAGCCGTTCTTTCGTTGCTTTTATAGTTTATTAAGTATTAAATTAGCAAGCTAAATTGATGATAATTATAGTGGTTTATCGAATTTATATACTTTGAAATTATTTACCGGCATATTTTGTTAATTTTTAAGCAAACAAATTGTTGATATAATATTTCTAAATGATTTGAGTCCCTTATTTACTTATTATTTCTGTAAAATATTTGCAAATCCTTTGAGTTTTGATTTCTACATTTAAATATTTTATAAGTTAACTTGTTTACTTTGCAAATTAAAATATATATAGACAGCATTTTATAGAGTTAATTATTATTTTAATGTGTTTTTCATAACACCATAAAAGGCACTTCAATATGAAATCCTTGACATTATTTAGAAAACCTTGATTATATAAATAAGTTAGTGGCCAAGGTTAAACGATTTCTGTTTAACCCAAGCCTCATATTGCATGTCCTGGCTTATTTATACCATTAACTAGCTCCCTGGGGATCCTGTAGCTTACAGTTTTCAGCAACTTTCAACTTCAGTTCCTGTTTAAACCTCCAACAACATGGTTGACCTGCCTCTGCTGCGTTTCTACTTCGAAGTGAGTCGCCTGATTGGCCTGTGCAACCTCCACTACAGCTTCAAGGAGCGGCGCTTCGTCCTCAACCATGTGCCCACTGTGCTCTACTGCCTCCTGCTGAATGTGGCCTATCTGCTGATCCTTCCCTTCGCCCTTACGCTGCTCTCGGGCAACATATACAAGTGCCCCGATGTGGGCATGTTCGGAGTGGTCTACAATGTGGTGGCCCTGGCCAAGCTCTTACCCTTGGTGCTCCTCATGGGCAGTGTTTGGATCCAGAGATGCCGTGTCCAGCGGCTGGGAAATAACTTGATGAGAATGCTCCACAGATTTCGCTTTGCCTTGGGCAATGATTGCCGGAAAAAGACTCTGTGGAAGGTCCTGCTGACCAGTTCGAGGTTCCTCATGCTCACCCAACAAATCATGGCTCGGGATTCGGTGGTGCACTGCGAAGGTGACTCCAAGCTTAAGAATAGCCTGCTTCCCTACTACAGAGCAGCCATTGTCTACTCCCTGATCATGCTCCTTCTGGTGATCTATGTGGATCTGACCGTGTACATGGTCCAGGTGGCGGGGAATTGGTTGCTGACAAATATGACCCAGAATGTGGAGGAAATGATTCAGGATCTAGAGGCTTTGCCCCGGCGGAGAGGGCTTCCCAGGGAGATGGGTCTCCGGCAGATACTGCCCGCCTGGCGGAGGCTTTGGAGGCGCTGTCTCCACTTGGACTCGGTTCTTCTGGAGCTGTTGGAGCTATTCCAATGGCAGTTACTGTTTAACCTGCTCACAACCTATATTTTCAACATAGCCACCTTGTTTCGATTGTGGATTTACCTGTCTTTTGACCAGAACTACCATGTCTATAAAGGGGTTGTTTATGGTGTTCTGTTTCTCACCCATCACCTTGAGCTCATGATGCAGTTTTCCGTCTTTGAGACGAACCGCTCCAAGTGGTTGGAGCTGTGGAATAAGGTGGTCAAGCTTTGGTATGTGAATAATTCGGGTGATGGGCTTAAGAACAAACAGGGAATGCTGCTCTCCAGGCAGGTGGGTTCTTGGAAGGTTTTCTAATATTTATAATTAATTAATATATATTTTTTTAGTTGGAAATATCACTTTTATATCTCAATCGAAAGCTCCAACTGCAGCCTCAGCGCGTGAGACGTCTTCATATAGCCGGTTTCTTTGACATGAGCAATTCTTCGGTTCACAAAATGACCAGATCTATAATCATCAATGTCTTGGTTCTCTGCCAGATAGCTTACAAGATATATGGTTGAGTTACTTTTTGTAAATCTTTCAAATATTGCAAAAATATAATTATTTTCTTTAAATTATTAATGTTAATGAAATGTACTTTACTTGTAAAAGATACTTTTAGTAGAAGTAGTATTTTTGTAGTTTAGAATTTTATAGGAAAATATCCTTCCTGAAATAATGAAAAGCGAGCTTTTCGCGTAGTCCTGAGCTTTGCTATAATAATTCAGATACATTTTATATCCTTTTGGCGGAATTTATGCTATAAAAGGAAGAGCCTTTGGAGAGTTTTCTAAGTTATCCGCTATAAAACAAGCTTCAAGTAAGCTTTAACTATAAACTCTTCAAGAAAATCCTTAGCTTTTATCTAAAGGTAATTTTCATATCCCTTAAGTTTGCTATAAATATGACATTGTAACAAGACTTCAAGGATTTTATTAAAGAAGTATATTTGAGATGCAAACCATTTAGAAACACCAAGTTAAAATAGCTTTAAATTTGATTGATTTCAAACTTATTCTGCCTGCGTTTTGTTCCTCACCAATTGTGTGAGGTACTGATGATGATAGTTGGGCTGCCTTTGCCGGTTCAAATCAAACTGCATCAGGATAATTACTTGGCTCAGGATCGAGCCTATATAACTCAGCCCAGCGGGTTTGTCCAGTTCTACAATTCCGCAGATTTTGTAGACCAAGTGGTTGCGTCTTAGTTGCAATGCAAAGTCATCCAACTGGAGGAAAATTCATTTAAAGTTAAGGAAACCAAATTAAGCCCACAACTCACCTCCCTTTGAAGTCTGCCTTTGGCCTTGGGAATATCGCTAAAATCCTTTAACTGTTCCCCCACATTGTTGCAGGCACTCAACACCCTGTCCAAAATATTCATCAGCAGAAAGGTTCCCCAGACATTAAACACAATCAATCCATTGCCAAAGATCACGCCCCAGCCATCGCTCTTGATGGTCTCATTGCTGTACTGGACGGCATGGTACAGGATGTTCACGGTGGTCATGAACATGTTAAGGAATAAGGTGGCATTGGCCAGATCATACAGCCTGAAGACTCTTCTGGCCAGCTGTAGGGTTTCCAAGTGCATGCGGGCTATGGTGCGTAGGGTCTTCCACTTCCCACGGCCCTTCTCCTTGTGAAGAGCGGCTAGGGCCAGGTGGATGACCATGAATTGATGATCCAGCAGCAGAAGCAACCCACAGAAGCCCATCTTGACAGCCAGAAAATGGAGGAAATGCGAGAGCCTCGCTGCTAGTGCCAGTAGACTGTGTTTGTTGATCACGCTGAGCAGCTGGAACTGGACCACAGTGGAGCAGAGAATGGTGGAGTAGAGCACAAACACCTTCTGGCCCATCACCTTGGCCAGGGATAGCTGCAGCTCCCTGAGTTCCCTCTTGTCCACTTTAAGCCTCAATAGCTTCCTATATCTTTTCCAATAAATCAGCGAGTCCTTGGTCAACTGAATGATGTCCTGGCGCCTCAGCCAAATGGTTCCATAGCATCCCAAAATGGCCAGCAAACGCAAGCCAATCATGACAAAGAAATTCCACTGGAGGATGACATTGTACTTGATGTATCCATCCAACAGGGCCCTGGGCAACATGAAGAAGATGTTGAGGAGCAGGAAGCTGCTTATGAAAAAGCTGTAGATCAGGTAGAGCCAGGTGGTCTTCTCCAGGCGCACTCTTTTTCCGTAGGAACGAATCTCCAGGGTGGCGCCCATCAGGCCGAAGAGTACGGCGTGGTAGTAGACCAAGTTCAGCAAGCGACCCAGTTTAGGATGCAACATGTTCGGGCTAAGGTCGCGGGCTAACTGGTTAAGCTTTGAATTAATTAGGTGAAAGTCTGTCACGGTCCGCTGGGAGGGCGATAAGTTGTCAACGCGCTGGGTCATCCGATTTCCGGATAGCGGAGCTTCCATCGATTGCCCCGCAGTTGCAAGTTGTCCTTGATCCGCGGCACACATGTTGCTGAAGTCCTTTCACCACTATGGAGTAGCCTGCGGCCTGGTGCCTGCTCCTCTGGCCAAGAGAGAGTTTCTCCGGGGAAGGCTGCTGAGATGGTACCTCATCTACACGGGCTGCCTGCATGGAGTCCTCCTGCTCCTGGTGCCCTTCACTTTCTCCCACTACATGTATGAGGAGAGCTATATCAGTAGAAACTTTGTCCTGGAGTCGTTCTTTAATGTTACGAATGTAACCCGCATTTCGGCCATGATTTCGGGCGGAGTTATGTCGTGGATTCAGAGGAAGGCACTCCTGAAGTTGGGCAAAGAAATATTGAGTCACTGCAGCAAGTGCCAGCAACTGGAGAATGCATCGGGGAATACCCAGCTAACGAAAAGGATTCAAGGACTACTTGGACAGCAGCTTTTTGTGGTCAATTTCACAGTTCTGGTGTCCTGGCTGCTGCTGATAAGAATCGAAACGGACCAGTGCTTCAGGAACATCACTTTGATTGTGGTTCAGGTTCTGCAATATGCATATGTCGTCTTGTTGGTCCTTCACTGGCAAAGCGAGCGAGTGCGCCTGGCCCTCAAGGATCTTTGTCAAAGGGTGCATCACGATGAGCTTAGTTCCGGCTGTAGAAGTTCCCTGGCGGACTTACGCAATTATTTCCAGCTTTATGCGGAAAATAGGAGCTTGCTGCGTAGAGTTTTCCAGACCTTCGATGTTACCATAGTGTTTTTGGTGATTAAAATGCTGGTGACCAATGTAAACATGATCTATCACACGGTGCTTTATGCCAATGGCTCTATAAAGGTATCGGGGTATACAAAACTCCTGGGCCACTTGGTGGTAATTACTCATTTCTGGAGTGCAGTCTTGATAATGAATGTTGTGGACGACATAACCCGAAGAAGCGGGCCCAAAATGGGGTATATTTTGCGGGAATTCAGTGACCTGGAAGTGGTGAAAAGGGAGTTTCATTTACAGGTGTTGTACTAGGTTTAATCTGTGATATATTTTACTAATAAATTTATTTCCAGTTGGAAATCTTCTCGAATCATCTGCGCTGTCATCCTGAAACCTACAAAGTCTGCGGTCTTTTTGTTTTCAATAAGCAAACGAGTTTGGTTTACTTTTTCTACGTTGTAGTGCAGGTTCTGGTGTTAGTTCAATTTGATTTAAAGAATAATTAGTATATTAGAAAAATATTGATATTCTCTAAATTAATGCTAAATAAAATGAAGCCCTATTATCTATTAATCTTATCCTAAAACTTGGAATTGTTTTTGGAAAAATGTTCAAAGTACTGACTCTTGCTTGGCTGTTGCTGCCGCCTCAAATCGAACTGCATCAGGATAATAATGTTGCTCAGGATTGAGCCTATATAACTGAGACCAGCGGGTTTGTCCAGTTCCACAATTCCGCAGATTTTGTAGACCAAGTGGTTGCGTCTTAGTTGCATGGCAAAGTCATCCAACTGGAGATAATATTGATTAAAAGAAGGAAGAAGCAATAAGGATGACTCACCTCCCTCTGAAATTTCCCGTTGATCCTAGGGAGATCATTGAACTCCTTTAGCTGCTCTCCCACATTATTGCAGGCGCTAACCACCCTGTCCAGCATGTTCATCAGCATAAGAGTGCAAAACAGGTTAGACACCACCAATCCGTTGCCGCAAATCATGCCCCAGCTGTCGGACTTGATGGTTCTGTTGCCATACTGGACGGCATGGTAGAGGATACTCATGGTGCTCATGAACATATTCAAAAACACAATGGCATTGGCTATATCGTAAAGCTTGAATATCCTCCGGGCCAGCTGCAGGGTTTCCAAGTGCATTCTAGCTATGGCACGCAGGGTTTTCCATTTCCTTTTGCTGCTCTCCCTGTGCAGGACTCTTAATGCCAGTTTGATTACCCCAAATTGGTGATCTAGCAGTATGAGGACTCCGTAGAAACCCATTTTAACTGCCACAAATTGCAGAGAATGGGAAAACCTTCCGGCTAAAGCCATCAAACTATATTGGGTAACGACATCCAGCAATTGGTACTGAACCACCGAAGAGAAGAAGAAGTACGAATACAAAACAAACACTATTTGCCACATTGTCCTGGCCAGCGACAGTTGCAGCTCCTTGAGTTCCTCCTTATCCACAATAGCATTCATTATTTTCCCATAATTCTTCCAGTAATTCAGTGATTCCTTGTAGAACTCTATGATATCCCGGCGCTTCAGCCAAATGGTTCCATAGCAGCCCAAAATAGCCATTAGTTGCAGGCCAATCTGCACAAAAAAGTTCCATTGGAGGACGATGTTGGACTTTGTGTAACCGTCCAGTATGGCCTGAGGAAACATGAAGTAGATGTTCAGCAACAGGCAGGTGCCTACGAACAAGCTGTAGATCAGGTACGCCCAGGAGACCTTCTCCAAGCGGATGATCCTCCTGTGCGAGCGTATCCTTAGAGTGGTGCCCATCAGGCCGAAGAACACGGCGTGGTAGTGGACAAAGTTCAACATGCGACACAGTTTCGGGTGCAACATGTTGGTGTTACGGTTGCCACTCTACTAGCCAAGCTTCGGGCTCGGAAAAACTATAATTAAATGAAGGGCGATGGCATCAGTCATCAGATTTCCCCCCAGGATAACGGCAGGAGCTTCCATCGATTGCCGGACAGTTGTGTGTCGTCCCTCGTCGGTGAAGCAGTCATGTTGCTGAAACTCTTCTACTTGTATGGAGCAGGTTGTGGCCTGATGCCTGCCCTGCTGCGAAAGCGGAAGTTCCTGCGGCAGAGAGGATATCTCGTCTACACGGCCTGCCTGCATGGAGTGCTCCTGGTCCTGCTGCCCTTCACATTTCCCCAGTACATGTACGATGGGAGCTATATGAGCGGGAACCTGGTGCTCCAGTGGGCCTTCAACTTGACCAACATAACCCGCATATTCGTCATGATTTCCGGTGGTTTCTTGACATGGTCGAAGAGGAAGAAGCTCCTGGAAATGGCTGAAAGGACATTTCAGCATTGCCAGAAGTGCAAAAAGCTAGGCGATGACTCCAGCCTCAGAAAGAGGTTTCGCGGGCTGCTGGTCCAGTACCTCTTCGTCCTCAATTTGAGTGTCCTGGTGGCCACTTTGATCCTGTGTCGAATCGACACGGATCAGAGCTTTAGCAATGCCACAATGATAGTGGTGCACATCCTGCAATTCAGCTATGTGGTCATCATGACGGCGTCCCTGTTTGTGATCCTGGTAATCCTCCACTGGCAGAACGAGCGAGTGCAGCTGGCCCTCAGGGATTTGTCCCGCTCGCTGCACCACGAAGAGCGTAACTCCCTGGTCCTATCCGGAGGCAAGGCCAGGAAGTCTCTCAGCAACCTGCGCAATCTCTTCCAGCTTTATTCCGAAAATCAGAGACTGATCCGTGAGGCTTTTAGCATCTTTGACCTACCCATAGCCCTTATATTGCTGAAAATGTTTGTGACAAACGTAAATCTGGTCTATCACGGCGTTCAGTTCGGAAACGCGTCTATAGAAACCTCGTCTTACACTAGATTCGTGGGACAATTGGTGGTAATTACGCATTACTGGAGTGCAGTTCTACTGATGAATGTTGTGGACGACTTGACCCGCAGAAGTGGCCCCAAAATGGGGGATATTTTGCGGGAATTTAGCGACCTGGAACTGGTGAAAAGGGAGTTTCATTTACAGGTGTTGTATTAGGTTTAATCTGTGATGTATTTTACTAATACATTTATTTCCAGCTGGAACTCTTCTCGGATCATCTTCGCTGTCATCCTGCAATTTACAAAGTCTGTGGTCTCTTTGTTTTCAATAAACAAACGAGTTTGGTTTACTTTTTCTACGTTTTAGTGCAGGTCCTGGTGTTAGTTCAGTTTGATTTGAAGAATAAAGTTATCGAAAAACACTAATTTCTTAAATTTATATAAAAACTGCAATTACAATTTCAAATAAAACTTAACTTCCGCTAATTGCAAGTGTTTTACAACACTGAAAGCTCTGCCACTTGTGACGCGATCATCTGGTGGCTGCGACAGTCTGGCAACTCTGCCAGGAAAATCGATCCTGTCGTTCCGTGAAAAATGTTTTATTTCCTTTAATTACGCCTACGCCTGCTCGGAAAAGTGTGTTTTTTGTGTGCCTAATTGTTCGCCGCATGCCATAACACTTATTAAATATTAAAAGCCATTAATCAAATGTGCTTTCGAACGCTGCGCAGGAATAACAAAAACGCCAATGGCATGCAAGGAAGAAGAAGAAGCAGAGTGAGACTTCTTGGGCCAAAGGAGGAGCAAAGCCAGGTGAATTGCTTGATTTTATGCACATAAATACATAAATAAATATGTGCCTTATGTTGGGGGTTGCCCGGGTTGCCAAAAATCATAATATATTTACTCGGCCCCGAAGCAGAAGCGAATTAATTCAACCCAGATAATTTCAATAAGCCCCATCGGGCAGCCGCACACAAAGGCACAGCAAATGTGTGTCGTGCACTGAGAGAAATGATCAAGGGAGTTGGTAATTAAGCTGAAATAATTGCAATTAAACTATATTATGTAATTTCTTTCGCTTTCTTAGCATTTAATTCCTTAAAAATACCTAAAGTCCAGCAAAGAAAAGAAAATTTAACCAATTCCTCTTCGTGCACATTAATCCCCATGCAGTGAGACCTCTTTTGTCGGCTGACAAATCAAATTTAATCAAGCTTTCAGCCGGAGAAGTCGAGAAGGGGTTGCCCCAAGCTGGATTTCGGTCATTAAATCTGTCCTGCGGGGCACACAAACTATCCGTTTGCTTAACCCACTCACAGCGCCTCCCTCTGCTTAACCCCTAACCACCCAGTTTGGTTCGATATTCCTTAGCTGTTTGGTATTAATTCCAATTATACGCACGGCTGGGGAATTTTCATTTGGACTGAAAGGATTGCGGGTCATTATGAGCTCTACTCTACTCCATCATTCTTCCTTCACTGCCAGCCAGCCAGTCAGCTAGCCACTTCTTTGTCGTCCCGGCTATTGTATATTGTTTTTGGCTAGAGGAGCCCCCCGGGGGATGGGGTTAATTGGCCAAGGTTTTGTGTATCGATTGCAGGCTGTGTGCTCTCGTGATTGTGACATGGCCGAGACCACAAAACGAGAACAAATACGATTTCTTTTGGTAACTAATTAGCAAGCTGGCCAAGTTTGTTGAGCAAACAAACGCTACACATGGCTCCGTCTCTCCTTCTGCGTCTTGGACCGATTTAATTAACCCTTTGACAGCAATAAACAGAAATGAAAATTATGAAAATGTTGCCCCCAAAATATACTCGTGTATTGCCAAGTCAAGAGCAACCGTTGAAAATGGTAATTAAGTTGCCAACTTTGGGTGGCTGGGTAAATTATTTTCGAAAAACAATTAGACTTTGGTAAGGGAAATTGTAAGTTATTTTAATTACAATTTAATATACAGTTTCTTAGGCATTTTTATACCCTTGCAGGGTATTATAATTTCAGTCAGAAGTTTGCAACGCAGTGAAGGAGACGTTTCCGACCCTATAAAGTATATATATTCTTGATCAGCATCAACAGCCGAGTCGATCTAGCCATGTCCGTCTGTCCGTCCGTCTGTCCGTCTGTCCGTCCGTCTGTCCGTTTCTACGCAAACTAGTCCCTCAGTTTTAAAGCTATCTGAATGAAACTTTGCATATAGTCTTCTATATGCTCTCACTGCTATATATGTCGGAACGGGCCGGATCGGACGACTATATCATATAGCTGCCATACAAATGTTCGATAAATTTTTAGAAAAAAATTTATAACTTTGCTGTTTTTCAACATTTTTGCACCATTTTTTAGATATGGCCATTCTATATTATTTCAGAATTTTGGTAAAAATTTTATCAAAATCGGACGACTATATGATATAGCTGCCATAGGAACGGTCGAGAAATAAATAGGAAAAAAAATTATAGTTTCGTTGTTTTTCAACGTATGTTTATCTACTCTGAGATATAATCTTTTTTTATTATTCTAGAATTATGGTATAAATTTCATAAAAATCGGACAATTATATCATATAGCTGCCATATAAACCGATCGGTAGATGTAGAGAAAATGTAAAACTGGGAATGTAAAACTGTAACTGTCAAACTGTAAACATAATAAGTATGGGTAAAATGTAATGAAACTCTGTTTTGTGAGTGTTTTCAGCATTTAAATCTATAATATAAACATCGAAACCAATCTGCAAGGGTATACAAACTTCGGCGTGCCGAAGTTAGCTTCCTTTCTTGTTAAATATTAAAACCTTTTATAAAATTCTCATGAAAACCTGTTCTTCCCAGTACTAGTCTCCGAATTTATCCTTTAATCACAGTTTAACGATGTCATTTTCGTCCCTTTAAAGCCAAAATTAGTAGAGACCTGACCAGACCTATTACACTCCACTGAACTGAATGTAAAATTTGGAATATTTCTTGCATCCCTGGTTCCTGCATGCCCTTAAAATGCAATTAATTCGTTATAAAGTTTTGGCAATAGTTTCGGACTAAGCTTCGTTCAACATTGAGCCCCCCGAATGGACATGGACAAGTTTTTCAGGAGGGGGCCCGGAAAAACAGTTATCAACACCAGGATCAGGCGCAGGACCTGGCAGGGGGAGAGCATAAAAGTGGGTCAAGTTATTTTCAACACTTAAAATAAACTCTCCTGCTTTGGCTCTCCTCTTTGCTCTTTGCCAAAATGCTGGCCAGCATTTTCTTTTGGCCGCCGCCCCGCTTTCTGGGTCAGTTGTGCCCACCCCCAATTTTCCAGCCCCCTCTGTCCCTTTCCCATCCCCGCATTGTCATCGCCGTCGCCTCGGCGCATAAATATAAATTGTATTGTTTCAAAAAAGTTTTCCCACTGAGTTTCTGCGGCCAGCGGAAAAAGTAGTTAAAGTTTTGTTTTCGCCGCTAGTTTATTGCGTGATTTCCTTCGCAATGACAGCCGCTGGGTGGGTTTGGGGGTGGTTTAGGTGGTGTTTTTGGGTAGCCTTTGGCGCGGTCTGAGTGGCGAGTGATAACTGCAGGGAGGCCAAGGAGAAGGTGGCACAAGGCGAGAAAACATTTCGTCCGCCACATAATTCACATTTTCTGCCAGTGCATTTGTGTGTGCGGCTTTTAACAAGTTGTGGCTTCTTTTGGGAAATACCAAATGAAATGGAAGCGGAGCGAAAACTCGAAAGAAACTTGCGGAATTCTCATTATATAATCGGATTCCTTCAACAATGTGATAAATATTTTGATTGTCTTGAAAAAGAGAGAGAGAGAGAAACTGATGGAATTGGGTCTAAAAATTTGCAAAAGATTTGCTCTTAATTTGTCAGCTGATTATAATGATTAATGAGGGAAAATATAATAAGAGAGGGTTCTGTAGGTTAAAAAGAATAAGAAGGCTCTATTCACTAACCTTTAACTCAAGTTTAAACATTAATAAAAAGGTTTATCATCTCTGAGGACTTGCTTAAATATTTTTATTTTTGCAATCACCCTTTTAAACTTTCTGCTCTTTGCTATAATTTCCTTGCCTTTCCTTTTAAATGTCCTTCCAAATTGCCAAACCAAAATCTGTAATCGAAACCCCCCAAAAAATATAGTTGCTATTAAACGTGATTGCTGAATTTTTTGGTTATTTTTTGGCGCACTTAACAAACCGAATAGCAGCTGGTGGCAATGGCTGCCATATCTAGGTGATAGCACCGCCTCCGAGTGCTCGAGTACCTTAAAGTTAAGGGCACTTGGGGCGAGTTTACAATTCCGGCAATGCAAGTAAACGTTATGCACGTACCGCCACGTGACCGAAAGTCAAAGCGGCAGGGGGCGCGGCCATTTCCACAGATCGCCGCTTTTCCATTCCGAGTCCTGCAGCGTTCTGGCATTTCTAATTGCATTTTTACTTAGTGCCCGAGTCAAAAAGTTTCTTCTTTCAGCAAAGAGGAGCGAAAAGTGAGGGATCTGGAGGAAGTGAAGATGGTGTTTGGCGGGGGAAGCCCCGTGCGTAAAGTTTAATTAAACGTGGTTGATTTATGACTTGTTGGGCATTCGGCTTCTGCCGGCAGCTGCAACCGCAATTCCAATTCCGAAAACCTAATGCGTTTATTTTCGGGGGTCCTTTTCGTGTGCGAAAGGAGGCGGGAAGTTTTCGACCCTATTTCACGCTTTTTTACACTGAAAATAAGATAATTTATTTGATTTAGTGTGTATTTCTTTGAACACACAAAAAACCCAGGACCACTTAGAACTTAAAAGAAGTACTATATCCCCCACTTGTGTTTATTTTCTCTTTGTTAACCCTAATTTCTCTCACTGCACCTCTTTCCCACACTGGACATAAAAGCGAATCACCTTTATGGCAGCTGCAGCTGTGGTTGTGGATGTGTGAGGGCGTTGGAGTGCCGCCGCGCTGCAATATGATTTCCGCTTCCGTTTCAACACACAATTTCGAGCACCTTGCCAACGTCGCCATCTTGGCCCCGTGTTCCATTAAGCGTTTATTGTTTTCGTGGCCATTAAAGTTGCATTTCCCCTCCCTGGCAAAACCCACACCCAAGCCAAAAGAAGGAACTTCAAACGGAAACTGGGAACTTTTCCTCAACAAGTTCATCATGAAAGTTATTGGCACACGAACAGCAGGTGGGATTGGGGAGGGCAATCTAGGCGAAAATCCCAGGGCTTAGGTTTTTCTCGGGGCCGCAAATCAGGTCAGGCCACAAGCACAAATCTCTGGCTCAATCCATGCTGAAAAATATTCCACGATAATCAACTTTGATACACGTTTCCAGGAGAGAGCGGTGCCGTCGTCGTCCTGTGCCTTGTAGGCTTTTCCGCCCTGCCATGCATTAAACCGCCGAAAATGATTGGGAAAATCGCAAAAGAAATCCGGAAAAAGGCCGGCGCGCAAATCTCCCTCTAACATCGGGGGCCAAGGCGAAAGTCCTTCCCCTCTGTCGCTCTCTGTGGTGCTGCCTGTCCCTTATCCATATTTTTTATGGCCTCGAAGGAAAATGGAAAAAGTTTATGTTAAAGCCACTCGCTCGCCTCCGTCGATGAACTGTGTGTGGATAATCGCGAGGCCGGTTCCTTTGGCCATATCTAGTGGCTTAACCGAGGCCCCTTTTGGCTGTGGTTGTGTTTGTGGCTGGTTAGGGGGGGTCTTTGGGTTGCTCCTGGGTGATAGGTGCCGCCTAGATGTGGGCCAAGTTTAAAGGGAACCGCATATCCTGGCATTCTGGCTCCAATTAGCAGGGTCAATTATGGAATTTAACAATTTAATTGCTTGAAAATTAATGGAACTTTATGGAATACTTTCTTAAAAGGTTCCGGTATCCTACAGATCTCTGAAGCATCCTAGATGGCAACAGAAAAATAACAAACACATATTGTAAATTGTCATAAAACTTGGAAGCTGATTAATTGCTTTTCAATATATTTCTCCCTCTGCTAAAAATACTATCTCTGCTGGTTACTCGACGATAATTAAAAGACATAGCACTGTGATTGCTTCGACACACTTAACAAAGTGCAATCAGTGGAAAATCTGGAAAAAATATATATGAAATTCCTGTCTAACTGAATAACCCTTGGCAGTGCAGACAGCTTCTCCAATTGCTTTTGTCACAACACACTAATTGGTCGGATTGGTTCCGACAATACGCGAAAAATTAAATCCACAAAGTGGCAAGCAAAAAAAAGAGAAACTCTCAGATACAGATAGAGATATGACCGCTGCCCGACAAAACACAACTAACAGTTCACAGTCCACTTCATCTATAATCCACTACAGAATCATTTTCATAAATGCTGATATATATATACTAGTAGAGGAAAAAAACGTCAATATATTTCATTTATGGCCACGTTTTGCGTTTATTTTTTTGTGCGAAAATGAATTTTTACATTTAACATGACCAATTAATGTGCGGCAAAGCCGCAAATAAAACCGCTTAATTACGTGACACGGCCAAAAGGCAGACCAGACCCGACCCGGCCGGAGCCAGACAGACAGGCTGCCCACAAAGGCCAGGGGAATGTCAGGGAGGGTGAGCTGCAAAAATTTGCATGACACGCATCGAAATGAAATAATAATATGGTTAATAAAGCCAGCCGCATCTGATTCATACACTCTCCACCCTGGCCACAACTCCCTGCCCAAAGCCAAAGAGACAGCGTCAACCGATTCCCGACCAGAGCCCTGATTCTCCCGAATCCCGAATCCGGCTCGAGGCCAATTATCGCACTTATTTCGCTGCTAATTAAAATGCAATTATTTGCTTTAAACAACATAATCCCATTGACGGCCGGCATTTCGTTTTATTTGCATATCGATAAGGCCCCGAGAAGCGTCTCTATTGGGATCAACTTTAGGTGGGATTTTTTCAGCGGATATTTTGCGGAATATTTTTCGTTTTAGCTGGTGTTTTCTTAATATCTTCTGAATTGATTTATAGTAAATTGATTTTCCTATTTATTTTCAATATAGCTTTTTTATTATTCTAAGTATTTTCTGGGTGTTCTAATCTTCCTGCAGAAGTAGGCGCAGCTTCATCAGTTAATTCTGGAAATAGAATTCGATTTTTAACCGTAATTAGCTTTTGTTTTATTTTGTTTTAGAGCCCACCAGGAAATATATCTTTGTCATTTTCCTTATTGTTCTCCTTGCTGTCCTCCATGGGCTCTGTCTTGGCCAAGGCATAATTGCAGGACATTTTATTCAAACCTTTAGTTGGCAGAAGGTTTTTTGAAGCCTGCGACTGAGCAGTAGGGGGATCCTGGGTATTCTTATAATTTTAAAATAAAGTATATTAATTATCAGGCAATGGGTTTATTGTTGTATATTCATAGATAACTGTTATAAACGTTGAAATTCAGATGCCTTTTACTAAAACATTTCTGAAGCTGTTTATTTTTTGAACATTTTCCGAATGCATAATGTTTTGCGTAGTCGCTATTATTGCATTTAGTATTTGCAGACTTACATTTACGTTGGTATTAACCGTTTTTAAAGGAATTAAATTCCCTGTACTACGCCTCATATTTAGTTTTCTCTTCGTGCGTTTCTTGTAATACCAAAATTCTTATTCGAAAACAAGTGTCCACAGTTTCTTTTGGTAGAATGACTCCACAAGTTTACGGAAAAGTGACCAGCCATGGCTGGACAGCTCAAGTGTGACCAAGATTGGACTAATCTCTGAAATTCTAAGATAGAGATGAAAAGACATCGCATGCTTTTCCATTTAATATTCGGTATTTACTTTCCTTAAAGTATTTTTTTAGTTTGTTAACATTAAACCCAAGAAAACAATATAGGGAATTAAATTAAATCTTTAATAATAATGCCTTAACAATTCCTTAGCAATAGACATTTTCTACAAATAAACCGCCTAGATCCCAGCGTTGTAATCACAACTCCACTTCGTTCTCCGTAAAGCCATCCTCATCGTCCTCGGCGGTGATGTGTAGGCGCAGTGGCGCCTTGGTCTTGCTGCTGCGATTTGGGCGCAGCTGCCGATGTCTGGGACTTGCAGTCGTTCTCATCAGTCTGGTCACCAGAGGCTTTGATTTGATGACAGGTGGAGCCGCGCTCTCTATGTAGTGACCCCCGTTGGCGGCCACATTGCGAGCCGCCTCGTCCGCGTAATCCCTGATGATCTGCCACAGTGGCTGTGAATCCGATTTGCCGCGGGCACGAGCCTGCAGCAGGGCAGCCGTGGCGATCAGGGTGAAGTTCATGATGCCGGCATTGAAAACTTCCAACCATCCCAGAACCTGTGAGTCGCCGTCCGTAGAATCAAACGAAGGCAGTGGAAAGGGCAGAGGAGGTGGCACGGGAGGGGTCACGGTCACGGAAGGAGCTGCCTGGACATGATTAGATCCCACAGTATGACCATTGTAGTTTCGCTTTTGAGGCAACTCCAATGAAGAAGACGCAGCAGTAGCTGATGCTTGGGTAATGGTTAGCTGCGGCTTGGCCAGGGCAATGGCCAGAATCGAGGAATAACCATTGGCAGCTGCAGAGGAATATTCTTGTAAGAGTGGAGATATTGTTGCACCGAAACCCTAGCTCACCTGGAGCAGGCTGCTGCACTGCCTCGCGGGCCATCCGCTGCTCGGCTCGCTTGACCCAGCCGCGCACCGTGGACTCCGGGACACCGAGCTCCCGGGAGATGCCTGCCTTGGTCTCACCACCGCGGATGCGGGCAATGGCTCGCTCCTTATCGTCCAGCGAAATCTGCACCCTGGGTCGCTTGCCGCGTGGCACTCCGAATCGCTCCATGACACGCGAAAAAAAAGAAGACAAACCGTTGGGAACTTGAGAAGAAGAACCAGGAAAGATGGGAAGCCAAAGAACTTTCGACTGCTTTTTGGATGTTGAGATTTCGACACACAACACTCGCGTAGCTCTGCTCAGCTCGACGACACACGGCGTTTGACAGGATTTGAGAGGTTCGTTGGCCAGCTTTGCTTTCGGCTGCTGCCGGCTGACGTTTAAAGCGGCGATGAGGTGCTTTTCTTCGCGTTCCCTTGCGTTGGCAACATTCTTCCGCCTTTTTCCTTTACTTTCTCACGTTCCTAGGTTTAGCTTTCCCTTTCTCCATTTTCCGATAGCTCTTTTTTATGGCACAGAGGTGCATTTTGCCGCAGAGCTGTCCACTCTGGCGAAACGAAGAGATTTCCCGTGAAAGTGAAAGCCATTCAATCTCAATTTCTCACTTTATTTATTTTCATACTTTTATTTATACATTTAATTCTGACGTACACTAAAATATGTGTCCTAATTTCCAAGTATTTCTTCTTATTTGTTTTAGGGGGTAATTTCTGTAACATTTCCTTGGTTTTTCTGCGGTTTATATGTTTCATCGGGGTTTTTACATATCTTATTGGGGGTCGATGTACCTTAAAGGAGTCTAAAACGGGCTCTGTGTGGGGGAGTTTTCTGTCAACAATTTCTTTTTTCGTGGAATTAAGGGGAATCTGGTTTCTTGACAGCTCTGCCAACTCTCTTAGATTCTTAAGAACCTACTTCTATATAGACTTACACTCTAGAGAACCATTTTCTGGTTGCAATTTACAATTTTCCGTTGAGAGAGAGAGAGGGTTTTCTCTAAAATTCCCGCCACAATTCGGGGCCTTCCTTATTGGGGAATTTTTGGTTTTATGGTCTAGGTAAATCTATGTGCAAAAAATATACCCTATGTATTGTATATATCGTACATTATATACATATGCATGTATATATGTGTATGTATGTATATATGCCTGGTTTTTGCTTGACAATTTGCCAATAATAGTACAATTTATTCGTATTGTTTATCATCGATATAATAACTAATAATAAAAACCACCAACAATTGTTTATTATTATTATTATTACTTTGAATTAAATGTTTTCATTTTCGCTTTAGTTTTTTGTCATTTTTCCTGTCATCGTCTCTGTCTACCTTAATTTAAAACTATTCGCTTTATGCCGCTTTTAAAGTATTTTCCTTCTTTTCCCTCGTTTCAACAATTATCACGTGACAATTTTCCATGTTTTTTATTATTAATTTATTCATTTTCTTTGTGTGAATGTGTGTTTTTTAAAAACATTTATATGTTTGTGAGTTGTTTATTTTTTTAATAGTTTTTATCGTACAATTATTTGCAATTAATATTCATTAGAGATGTCACGTAGAGCGAAAGTTATAGACTCGACTGGGCAGAGCTACTTACATAGTTATAGAGGGGTTTTCCTATTCAAAATTGAAGTGTATGGGAAAAATTTGAAATTTTAAATTTTATTTAAAGAAGGTTTCTAAAAGAAGAGTTGGCAATGGTTTGTGGCAGTGCACTGGGCGGGGACTCTTTGTAAACCCCAAAGGTATTTTATTCTGCATTCTAATATGTGTTTAAAAATTAAAAAAAAAAATCTTTGCTTAAATTATTGAAGGAAAAGATTGTTAGTTCATCTAAATTCTCTATTGTATTTTAATATTTAATATTTTAAACACAAGGAAAACCAGTTAAGTTATTGATTTTAATTCAAAATGTTTAATTTGTATTTAAACTTAAATAAACAAGATGCGTAAAGGCTTTTAAAGAAGTCTTTGATTTTGTAAATAAATTATTATAAATATAAATAAATTATTATAAATATAAATTAATCATATAGCAACTTCTTTCATGCTTTCCTAAATTCAAGAACAAACAATGGCAAGTCTAAAATATTCGCCACTTAAAACACGTGTCAAAACTTCACACAAAATTCTCTTTTTTGGGGCAGAACATTTGCAAAAAATATCCCTTTCTGAAATGTCCACCAATTGATCCTTAGTAATCCTCTTCCAGGTGATGCCTGCCCTGCTGCTTTGGCGACCTCCTGCACATCCTTCGCAAGATGGCAAAGAGCAGCGCAAACATGAGACACAGCCCCGCCGTTATCAACGCCAACTTGCCGTAGGGAAGCTCGCTGAGATCACGCCTTAGACAGATCTCCGGGGATTCGTCGTGCAGCACCAGTTGCCGGTACTCTCCGGCATGATGTAGCAGACCCAGTTGCTCCAGATTCCACTCGATGTGCCGCGTCAGCTGCGACAGCGTGGAGGTGTGCGTCACATTCGGACAATTGGCTATGCCGTTGCAGAGCAGATGCCGGGGAATGCAGACCTCGGTGTCGCCGGGACACCGGAAGTCACAGCCGCCGTCCTGGAGCAGTGAGGCGGCCAGGCTGCCGTCGGGATTGCGGGGCAGGTGGAAGAGCTCGGTCCAAACCAGCCGGAAGATGTTGCGTCCCGGCTGACCGTCGCCCGTGTACTGGATGAGCACGGGCAGGGGCTCCTGATCGGCGCCCGTGGCCCCCAGCTCGGCTGTGGTCAGAATGGGCAAGTCCCTGGCCAAGGATATGTTCTCCGGACAGACCACAAAACGAGGCTCCAGGCGACCCGCCAGATACACTTCGATCTTGGCACTCTCACAGCTGCGATCTGCAAAGCGAGCCTTCTCCAGATTCAGCCAGAGGTCCCGCTGGGCGGCCACCTTCAGCTCCCAGATGCACTTCTCCCGCCGATAATGATGCTCAGGCGGAGCCATCGGACCCGACACCATGGCCAAGGCCTTCTTGTATGGGAAGACCAGTTCCCCGTCCGGCGAGGGTCCCAGGGTAATGGGTCCGCACAGAGGACCATGAGCGAACTCGTAGGTGGCCTCGAACAGGGGATTCGGATTCTTAAAGTACGACGTTATGGCATGCTGGCCCTGCACAATCATCTCCAGATTCATCTGGTCCGCCGAGGAGATCACCCTCACCGCTCGCGGTATATTGTCACAGAAGCAGGCCAGGTTGTTCTGGTACTTGTCCCGCTCCTCCCAGATGACCAGCTTATCTACACGCTCCTCGTGACAACGAGTGCAGGCGTTGCTATTGTACGGCAGCTCCTTGAAGGACACCGCATTCACCTCGATAATGGCCCGGGCATAAAGCCTTCGATCCGTCACAAACTTGTATTGGCAGCGAACATCACTGCCGCCCGTTCGCTTGAAGATGAGGGAATTCAGCGGTGAGCGGAGGCGGCCGCCAGGATGTTTCCAGGCATACATCACCTCGTCGCAGAGGGTATTGGGAACCGGGTCTCCGAACCGCGTGTTATTAAAGAAGTCGTAGTGCGCCCAGTAGTACAGTGAGCTACCGCTATAGCTGCCGGTTTTAGAGTCGAATTGAACGTACAGTGAAGGACTAGTGCTCACAAAGTCCACCTTTTCCATGGGCCGCGAGAAAGTGTCGCAGAAGGTTTTGATAATCCTCGCGGGATCCGCGTGATCCGAGTCGTAAATTGTGAGTGATTCGCCGCAGTCGCCTTCGTATTTTAATATGGGAGATTCAATGCGATTGATGCGGAAACTGGAAGGAGAAGAGGGTGAGTTTTTAAATACTTTAAATACTAAATGAAAAGTAAATATAATCGTACCCTTGTTTCTGATATTTAAGTTCAATTCTAATTCTCTAAAACAGACTTGAAGATATCATTTCAACCATAATCCTTCCCTATTTCCCTAAACTTAAAACAAATTTAATCCGGCATTTTTTTGTGATAAACATTTCCCCGTGACAGTGTCGCCTCTGGTAAACACCTCACTCTGCTGCTGGCGGCTGGCTCTTTGCCAGGCCACAATTCTGGTCGCGTTTGTAGGTCCTACAATTTAATATAAATTCCTGCCAGCCAACAGGTAAATCTCGCCAGCGTCGCCATACACACGTAGCCTCGTTAAGGATTTTTGGGGTCGCGATGTGAGTTGCATTTTGAGGCCTTATCCCCTCTTCCATTCCCCCCTCAAATTGCATTCCAAAAAGTAGTCAAGGATATTTGAAAGGAGTTGATGTGGAAGGCCAATTTTCTGCAGTTTTCCTGCATTACGCTGCCAGTTGATGGGGGATAGGTTCGAGTTGGGTCAGTGGAAAAGCGGAAAAACTATATTATAATTAAAGTCAACCATAAATGGATACAATGTGCAGCTTTTTCTCATAAATAAATACCTATACCAACATGTAATGTAATATTTTTCCACACAAACCACACAGAGAAGACCTCGAAATGACATTCACTGGAGGGACGCCCTCCTTTTGACGAACTTATACCACAAATTCCACAAATTGTTATATAACTCGTCGCCTGTTTAGCCCTTTATGCATATATATCCCTCTATATAACCGTCATTCAGAGTGCGGTGAATACAGTCTATGCAATTACATTTTGGCTCTATCCAAAAATATGACATAATACAACATTTTATTAACTCACACAAAGTTGGGGCGCAGAAAAAAAAACGAGAGAGGAAAAAAAATAAAAGGCAGACCGAGAAAAATCACCATCATCAGCAGTTTTGAAAGTGGGGGGCGGTGCAGGGGGGTGACTGCCACGCCCCCTAATCTGGCAGCAGGCAGCAGTGTGGCACAAATTTCATTTGGTTTCGCTCTTGTTTTTTATGCCCGTGAGGGAGACTCTGCCTCACTATTCATAATAGAGGAGCAGAGTTACTATATTTTTTTGCACCGACTCTGCCGCCCCTCTTTGGTCCCCCAGTTCTTGGGGAGCCCCTCTTTGGCGCTTTTGGACGTGCCCATAACGTTATTCACGTACGCGTCGTCGAAAAGTAAGCCCCGACACCCTGCGGCATGTCCTCGTAATCCGTTTGCAGCCTAGCCCAGTTCCAGTTTATACACAGGGGGAATTTGTGGGTAATTTTAGGGCTTTTAAAAGGGTATCTAAGATCCTTTTTCAAGTAATTTTCTTAAACTGAAGGCGAGATAACTACATTTCTTTAGCTAAAACAAATTCTACAAATAGTAAAGAAGCATTTTCTATACAAAATGCTAACTCTAAGGTTGTTTTCCTCAGTGCAACTCCTAGTTCCAAGCGCCCAGTCCGAGCTCTCCGTTATGCTGACTCAGTGGGAGAGTTTATCCGTTGGGCAGGGATGGCCGGGGTCGCGGGGGATTGTTGTCAACTGGTTAGCCTGGTTATGTGCATATGGGAGTCGATTGGTGTCGTGGCCAAAAGCCCAGAGCGTCAGTTTATGTGGCCATAAGGCTTATAAATAGCCCAAGTATGTGCCGTGTCTTGTGCATTTCAAGCGGATTTTTGTTACGTTTTATGTACGTTCTTTTTTTTCTGGCAGCCAATAGAGCCTAAAGAAACGGTTCATAAATGGTGGCATAGAAAAAGGTAGTAGATCGCAACAATTGATTTTTATTTTAGGTATTTGGGAAATTGTAAGGGGAAGTGGGTTTTATTGGTAGAAAATAGAAAAGCTGGGTATAGTAAAGCTTTAATCCCTACACCCCCAAGTCACTAGAAACTAACGAAGAGATGTAATTGAAAATCGGAAATGAGAGTGGACATTAATGCACCATAGTAACACAATCTAAGGGATAATGGCGGACAAAAGCAGACGCTGATGAGTTGTTAGTAGCTAGTAAAACTAGTACATAGTCCTCGCCCCCCCATCGAACAACATTCACAACATTATTGGGGAAAAGTGTGTGTGCTCTGAACAAGCAAATGGATTGGACTGCCGAAAGGAAAACTTAAGTGCAATATACTCAAGGAGCTGTAGCAGTTCAGCATCTGGTCAGCTCACTCGGAAAAAATCTCACTAGATAGTAGAAAGTAGTAGTAGTAGGTAGTAGGTAGAGGTGGCTGGTAGACAAAGACCGAGCAAACAAAAAACAGCTAAAAAAAAATAGCAAAAGCCGAAAGCAAAGCCATGACATGTTACTTAAATGAGCAACTTTGTTGGAAACAATGTCGACAGCGTCTAGACTCGGGGACTCGAGACTCGGGACTTGGGACTTGGGACTCCGGCGGTGGTCTTGCGACAGGCAGCAGCAGGACAGCCAGCAACTCCTACTCACATTCTGGCGGGGAGGGAGGTAGGACAGGACGCACTAGAGGGAGGTGTACGAGGTAAATGTAAACTGACAGCTACGAAGAGGACTGCGAGAAAACCTTCCTAATGGGCTGCAATTGTTGGTATATCCTTGCCAAGGAGCCCCTAAAGTTTGCTGAGGAGTTTGACACTTCCTTGTGGTAAATTTATCACTGAGCTTAGCTTGGGATATTTGTTATAATATATGGCTTAATTAGAAAATTACGAGGGTGCCTTTAAAAAATGCTAAATAAAGCTTAAAAGTATGCTATAGTATTTTTTTAGTTCCATTTTTAGGTTATTTAACTTCTCCATAAAAAACTTCTCTCCAAATAATATTTAAATATTTTATTTCCTCCTCGTGGCCGTAATATTTTATCATCTACAATTTTTGAGTAGCTTCTACTAATAAAATCCCTTAAAATTGTATTTAAATCAGTTTACTACATACTTTAAGGTACCTTTAAAATTAATTTTAAATCTATAACATTTTCTAGAAAAGAGCATTCAAAATTTTGCTATCCTTGAAAAAGTCCTTGCCTAACCATTGCTTTTATTGTTGTTGTTGCGGCGGCCGTTAGCTACAACTTGAGTGAAGTTGGCAGGAACAACAAGCCCAGCAACAATCCAACAACAAACCCGAAACAACCACAACAACAATGGCAATAACAACAACTACAACTAAAAAAGGCAAAAACTTGGCCAGAAAAGCAGGAAAAATGCTACGTGTGCTGAGCTGTGTGTGTGTGCTAGAGAGTTTCCCCATTGCATTTTTCGTCTACTTTGAACTTTTCCCTTTCCCCCCCGAAAAACAAAACCCGACGCATCGCCGTGGCTTTCTCCCTCGATTGCTTACCCTGTTCGGTTGCATTTTGTGCACTGTAATCACGCAATCATGTTGCCCACTTCTGAACTCTTAATGGCAATCGGTGTAAACGTGCGCACAACTTTTCCACCAGCCACCCACAGCTTTTCCTTTTTCCTCCTCCCGTATTTTCCACAACAACAATGAGTTTGCCCTTGCAAACTACCCCTCTCTCTCTTGGCTGTAGGTGGACATAAATATTTATCTTTTGGCAAGAACTTGTTTGATATTTTAAACCCCATCCGCTGCCAGTGCCGCCATAGCCCCGATCTCGTCGAGCTTCTCCATGTGCTGCTCCTCCAATGATGTTTGCCCCGTACACATCGTTTTCTTTAGCCCGTTCGCCAGGCAAAAACTTGGCAATGTTCGGTAACAATTTCTGCATAAATTACACAGTAGCAACATCAAGCGGTTGTTTTGGTTCTTCAGGCGGCTCCTCGACGGAGGCGGAGGAGTGTAGGTGCTCCGGTATCCAGAATTGTTGCGATTGCAGCTGGATTACCCGGACCGAACTTGTGTAAATGCAGGACATGAGATTACAGCGGAGAAATAGCATAAAAGGAAGTGATTTGATAGAAAAAAGGATTACATGGGGTCATAGTAAGAATGGTTTTGTTTCTAAAACCATTTCTCAAGAGATTAAGCAACAAATTCTCCTAAAAACATTTAAATAATCCTGAAAAATGTTTTTAAAATATTTAGAGAAGGAATATTATCATCTTAAGATGTTTTAAACATTTCTAAACTTATTTTAAACTTTGTAAAATAATATCTTTGTTCAACCCTTAACCGCTTGTTTACCACTTGACCAACTCAAAGCCCTAAATTATGATTGCAATAAGAGATCCCTTCCGACTTGTCAGGCTTAAAAACTTCCGGCTTTATCCCATTTATTCCTCGCAGCCATCAATGTGCCCTAAAAGTGTCACAGGGAGGAGAGCCGGAAAACTTTGCCATAGTCTTTGGCCATGCAAAGCCAAAAACCGCAGCACAATAAAATATTTCGCAGGGCGTCGTCGTCGGCGTCGGCGTGTGGGAAATGCAGTGGAAAATACTCAAAATGAAATGCACAATCAATGCGACACTTGGCCAAAAAGTTCCAGGCACTTCTGCCGCATTCCAGAGCACCGAGGCACACACAAACAAAGTAATATATATATATTTGGATGCGAACAAAGAGCAACTCCGACTCCGACACGTTAAATTAAAATGTCACATAAATCTTTGCGGAAAATTTCATTAAAATACGCTTACAGCATAGAAGGCAAGCCCGAGGATTGTCCTGCTCAAAGGAGGGATGAAATCGGAACTCGGAGCAAGTGCGAACCGCAAAACTTTGCACTTGTAGCTCGAAAAGGCCGGCCAAAAACGGACTTCGGACAGCGGAGAGGGATCAACTTGGATAGTCCTTGTCGGGGGAGGTCGGATAACTGGTTCAAAAAATGGAAATTTTAATGGAAAAACTTGCAAATGCAAAGAGGCGGCGGCGGCAAGTGGTGACCTCTCTCCGATCCAGGGAGTGATGAGTTAGGACCTGTTCTTTGTCGACAGGACAATTTAAAAATAGAATTGGAAACTTTTCTGTGATATTTCTGTGATTTTTGATTAAAAGTAAAAGTTGGGAAAAGTTTTAACAAATATTTTTGATATTGAACTGGTGAGCAGCACCTTGATTTTAAGGAAAATAACAAAAGGAAGCTTTCTGGGATGATTTATCATTAGAATTATGAGGATATTTTGTTATTAAAGAAATTTATTAAAATTAATATAACCCTTCTTAGCCAAATTCTACTCCCAATACTTCCTTTTAATTCCGTGTTAAATTCACAACTCGGACTCTGATGGAAAACAAATTCCACACACATTACCTCCATCGATTCATGACGGATGCCCAATGAAAATGCATGGAATTCTTAATGCCTACCTGGGGAAATAAAGGCGCACAATTTCGCCGACATGTCCTTTGATGTGATAACTGCAGGAGGTATTCGGCGGATACCAGTGGGCGATGCTAAGGAAGATGCCCTCGCTGGCGCTGCTGTCCTTTAGCGAGTCGGAGCTGAGGAGCCAGTCGCAGACGCCGTGCTTGATCCCCGCCGTCTCCACATGGCCTGGCCAGTTGCCAACGTTGAAATGGAAGCCCGTATTTAGCAGAGGGCCCGCCGGCGATGTCACAAACTCCACATACATGTATTGTGATGTGCCTGTTCTCGTACGGATATGCAAATTGTTTAGGACGGGGGTGTCTCTCTTCTGGCCAAGTGTTATCCCAGCAGTTACTCACCGATAATGCTGAATGGGAACTTGCCCAGGCCGCAGAATTTCCCAATCAGCGGGGAGTGCTCGTCGCGTCCATCGTACACCGCCAGCCAGTCGTAGGGACAGTGCTCATTACCGGAGCCAATTGGTCGGATGGGGCAGGTCATCACATTCTCGCATCTGCAATTTGACCAACAGCTTCATTACTATCTGGTTCTGCTCTTTGCTCCACTTAGGGCAGCGCGTCGAAAGGGTAAATTAAATTAAATTCATCCGGCGACGACAATTCAATCATAACAAAAAAATATCCTTGTAAAAAACTGAACAATTAAAAAACTCACGTTCCACAAATAACGAAGAAAATAAAAGGCTGCTGCTGCTAAAAAAAAAAGAGTCGGAATGAATAAAGAGCAAGGCTGGCAATTGAATAACTGACTGAGTGGTGAAGCTTTTAGTGTCTGGCGGGGAATCTGTGAAAAAATGTGACTGAAGCAGGGGCGGTGTCATCAGGGAGGGGGTTAATGTGTACAGCATGTGCTGTGTTTTTTTGAGAATATTTATGAATGAGTTGATAAATATAACTAAAAATGAGGGGAATAATATGCTAATAGGTTGATTAAATTCATATAAATTGAGATAAGAATATTATGGCATAAAAATATTATAGTATAGAGCTCGTAAAATAGGCTCAACCGTTTTGATCATTCGGTTTCTTTCCTAGTTAAAGCGACAAGAGACTTAAGAGGGTCTCCTTCTTGCTTTCGTTCTGTTATGATTGCTCTCAATTGTGTTCGAAATACGAAACTCTCAGAGAGATCAGAAAAAGCGTACAGTTTCAGCTCTTCAGAGAGATAGAAAGATTGGAAAAAGGAAGATCTGAGACGTTTCTTTGCTTCCGTTCTCAATCGAATACTCGGGTAACCCATATGTTGCCAAAGAGAAACAACCTTTCACTCTCTTTTGTGTGATTTTTCTAATCAGAATCAGAGTAAAGCACATATTTGTTTAATACCCAACTTAAATTTCCACATAATTTAAGCATTTCGAACTTGTCTCAAAGGAATTACTTAACTTTTCTCTCGTTTTTTCCCCTCAAAAATGCTTTTAAATGGACTTGAATAAATGATTTGTGAGCTTCATAACTAAAAGGAAGCCCCAGCTGCCGCCGCCCATGGTCATGACATTCATTTGCACTTTGCCAGCCTGAGGAGGAAACTGGTAAAAAAAAAAACACAAAGTTTCCGCAGCAGAATGAAGAGCGGAAAAAAATGGCAACGGAAAATCCAAAGCGTCTGTTTTGAAGCCTTTTCTAATTTCTTGCACCGACCGGTCTTCGTTGAGAGGATGCTTTTAATTTTTTGCCGGTCAGAGTCGTCTGGTGGCTGGTCGGCATAGTATAACCCTGACTGGGGCCAGACAAAGTGACCTTTGTGCCCGGCCATTGATGACTGGGATGCTGCCCATGTCCCTGCTTCCTCCGTCGATTCACAATTTTACTTCTCGCCGGCGGAGCAGACTGATTGGCGGGCAGTTCAAAAGGCAAATGGAATGCCGCCTCTGACTCTCACCTGTGCGTGAACTTTCTAATTGAAAGCTAACTTTGGCAATTACCAACTGAACTTTAATCAAACGGGGACCGAGTCAAAGGCAGTTGAATGTGATTTGGGCAGTGTAACAAAAATAGCAATTTAATTGACAGTTCCATCGAGCCTTTTTCCTCTATCTCCATCCGGTTTTTTGTGTTCGCTGGAAAGTTGGGAAAAGAAACTTTTGGGCCAACTTCTCTGTATCTATAGCCATGTATATGTAGCCGATAGATAGATAGATTTCTATTAGCTAGTCAGTTCGTTTCAGTCAATTTAATCACTTTGTCAGCAAGTTTTCCCCGGAGTCTGCAAAGAGCTAATCCAACTTATTGATAATAAATGCGCTGCTGGGCCGAAAGTTGATTACAACGGACGGAGACTACTGTTTAGTCTGTAGGGGAAAAGTTTGTTTTCTTTTTTCTCTCTCTCTCTCTCTCAGTTCACAGGGGGAAAAAACATCAACTGACTGGTAATAATTTTGGCATATTAAAAAACTTTTTTACTCAATGACTTTTGCATTTGTTTGGCAGCCGGCCCCAAGCTCAAGTTTTCTGCTGTGATGGCAGAAATATTCGCTAAGAAATTAGGAATGTTGTTGCGGGTTGTACTCGTATTTTTTCTTTGGCTCTGTTTTTTGACAGCCGCCAAAGGAAAAGGAGCGACTGCTGCTGTGCAATAAAATGAAGTGATTTATAAAATAGCAGCCACACGAGGCAAGTTTCAGCTGACTTGGCATCCATTTTCAGGGGGGAGGAACAGGAACTGTAACTGGAGTTGCGAACCAGGTCGGTCTGTGGGGTTTTATGAACTGGATTTATGGCGGATTTATACAAAGTTAAGGCGGATTATGTAGATTTTTAAAGGGTGAGAGAGGTGTGTACTTATTGATTTTTACAAGGAATTGGCGGGGTTTATTGTTTTCATTTCAATTAAATTTATTTCTTTTATAAAAGATATATATTTATGTTAAGTAGCTTTTAATCAAGGAATCTTTCTGTGTATTCCCGGGAAAGCACCATTTAAAATTCCAACTTGCCGCCATGATTAGCAGCTCCTTGCCAAGGGCCTGTTTGTCTAATCCTTTTCTGCAGACCGAAAGTAACTTAGACTTGCAAATTAATACACACTTAAGGGGGATTGTAGCCCCGAGTTGGCAAACCCCCCGCTGAGTCCTCACCCCCTTCCCCGTTTTTGGCCTGAAAACCCAACTCAAAGTTGGCAGGCAACTTTGACATGCGTCTTTCGTGTCGCCTTGCCTTGCCTTGCCTCCCTCTTTGGACTTTTCAAAAGGTAAATATTCAAATTGAATCTATAAAAATAAATTGAATGTTGCTTATCTAATTCCGACTTGCACGTGCTGGGATGGGAACCTTCTCCGACTCTGACTACGACTTCTCCTCCGCCTCCACCTCCGATTCCTCCTCGAAATCGACAGTCGATGCTAAGGGAAATATGCTGACTCCCCGCATTTGCACATCAAACAAGCTTTAAGATACTACTTGGCCACTTCTGCCGGCCATTTGGTGCTGGGAATGTGCAAAGTGTTAAAGGCTGAAGGTTTTTCCCACCCGACCATAAAATCCCTGGCCCCAGGAGGGACTCTCAGACTCGGGAGTCGGGGCAAAGAGCTTTGACCTACCCTCATTACCCCGGGTCCAGGGGTCCATGATAAAGCAAATATATTTTGTGAAAGGTCATTTCGGTTAAGCAAATGTAAATTGTATTTGTCGCGGCAGAGGCGTACGATGGCGTGTCCAAGGCGTATTTATGGAGGCAGTCATAAAATATTTAAGCTCTGATTTAAGCCGAAAATGGTGGGCAGGTGAAAAGCCTCAGTCAAGGGAGAATCGAGTTGAATGGTAAATTGGGAATTAAATTGGAACTTAGGTCAGGTGGGTTTTAGTTTGATTTTAAAATGGAAAATTTAGGGTAAAGAAGGGTTAATTTTTAAGGTTTCTATTAAAAACCATTTAAATGTGAGCCTAAAGATATTTTATTTTTATGAAACAACTTTTTTTTAAATGTTAAAAGCTTGTAAGATTATTTAAAAATATTTTAAAATAAATTCCCAGAGTATAAACCCCTACCAAAAATGCATGTAAAATCTCCAGCTTTAAGGAATATTTGAATAGCTAAAGAAGAGGATGGCTGGCTGCTTTTCTCCACTCTTCCTTCGACAATTTCATCATTTTGGCATTAATAATACAAGTCAGCCATGACTGCATGCTGCAGGGATATTACCGCCGACCCGCCCTCCCCATTTTAGCCACAATCGAGGGCAACCTCACTCAAAACGTAATCCTTTAGCCAATTTTCCCAGGCACAAACACAGAGAGAGCGGAAGGGGCAGGGACAGATGGAGGAGACAGGGACCCCGTTTCGGATTCCGATTCGTAGATTCCAAAAGTGACGCATACAGATACCCGTGGCTGCAAGGACATGTCGCCAGCGTTTTCCAGCAAATTGGTGCCAATTTTTGCGACGAACGCTCTGTCAAATTGTCATTGTCAGCATGCCAAATGCATTACAGCAACAACAAAAAGAGGAGATTTTTCGGCAAAGTCTGTCCGTCTGCCAGTCGCTGTGTCTGTGTGGATTGTGCAATCGGCGTGCCAAAATGACAAATTACAGGGTGTTGCATTTAACACTAATTTCGTTCCAAAAAAACGATGCCAGAAAATGGAGGTGAAAATAAAATTTGCATAAAGGCAATTGCTTTTTTTAAAAAATTGCTCTGTGGGTTTTATAATTTGTGGAAATAGTATAACTTTTGATAAAAACAAGCTAAAAGAGTATAATTAGTTTTAAAAATCAATGTAGTTGTATTCATTGAGTTTTTAATGAAATTAAAAGGTTTTGCGTTTAAGGAATAATTTAATTTATATAATGATGTGTTTAATAAGAGCATAAAATCAAAGAAAAAATTCTCTTAAATTTATTTACACAAAAACACATTAAAAATGTTATAAAGCATTATAAAATTAGTTTTCTTAAGCTATTAAATAGCAAATTAAATAACTTTAAGCCTTGTACAAATTTAAATTAAATACTTAATCCTTCTACATATCATAAATAATAATTAATAATCAAACACACATCAAATAAACGTAATTAATTTACATTAATTTATATTCAAACTAACCTCTGGCCATCCACGGCGAACTGCTCATTCTGCAGATACAATTTGATGTAAGGCTGACGGGTGTGCAGCTTGTAGCGACAGTTGAGGGCCCGGGGATATAGGCCAGGATATGCGGGTGACTGGACATAGCAGGTCTGCAGGCGACAATCCCGATACTCACGCTCGCAGTAGGATCTGCAGGAGGAGGGGATAGAGAGAAACACAATACAAAATCATCGAATTAGAGGCATGGAAATATTTAGTTTAATTTGTTTCAAATTGGTTGTATCACTCAACCCGCAATAAATGTTTTTTTGGCTCCCCCCCAGAAGGCATCCTAAACGATTCAGGCAACTTTTTGGGTCTGCCTTTGGGCCCATTCCTGAAACTGCGTCAAGGAAGCCAGAAAATTGTGTTCACTGATTTGGAAATTTTCTGTTCACTCGCTTTTCATTTCTCTGCTTGCTTTTTTTCGACAACCGAAAATTGTGTAAAATTCTCATTCTTTTCGAGTTTGGTGCGTATAATTTTCAATTTGGTTAAGTAAAACAAACGGAAAATCATTCAAAGGCGAAGCTAGCGTAAATATGATTACCATTTTTATTCCCTTTTTCCCCTCAATCTCGTTCTCATTCTCGTTCTCGTCCTTGTTCCTTTTCTCCAACCGCCTGTACTCTTAGTCCTTGGCAATTTGCTTTGGTTTTGGCTCCTCAATTGGGTTTGGGTTTTAGCTTTGGTGTCGATGCGCGCGTGACCGCAAAATTAGCATAAAAATCATATTGGCCATGTGGGCACCACCAGGGGGGGAGTTCGGGTATTTCGCCATCTCCCAAAGGGGGCAGGATGTGTTGGTCGCCTTTTGATGGACTCTTTAAGAGCCAGAGCTCTCTTGATGCTATTTAAAGTCGAAAAAGATTGCCAGGGAATGCGCTATGAGGGTCCTCGAAAGATGAAGCAATTCAATAAATTGAATTGAATTGCTTTAGATTGAACAGATTTTTAATAAGAGCTCTTGGCTTTTGTATATTTTCTTTAATTTAGTTGTTAAATTGAAGAGAGTTTGAGAGTCATTGAAGTTACTTGTATATTTTTTGAAATTTTTAAAAAGGAATTTAAAACAAATTGGAAAAGAAAATCTTAGATTGTAAATTCTAAATTCCTGCGAATAAAATTAAACATAGATCTCAAATACAACAATACAAATTTAAAACCAATTTTTAAAGACTTGAATTTCTGGAAAAATATTACAATTTCCCTGCTTAAATTTCTGCCTCTTCAAATTCAATTCAAAAATTATTTTTATATTTTTTTTGCTCTACCAGAGATTATATTGCAATTTATTCCCAAGAGACAGAAAAAAGTACGCCCCCTTGAAAACTTTATGTTCACAGAGACTTTTCCCATTCCCAGGCATCTGCATACACACGAGTATATGCACAAATATCATTTGAGTAAATCTAGCAGGTTCTCCACCCTCTTGTTACTTGCAGCCAAATCTTTGCTTAAAACTTGCAACTTATTTTATTAAGATAAAAGTTAGGAGGCTCTGGCAGCAGAATGAAAAGGAAAAAGAAACGTGGCAACTCCAAAACGAGAATCAAATAAAATTTAATGTCTGCAAAGTTTTATATATTTTTTGTCAGAATGAAATCCTTGCCATGCCTTTTGGGCCACGGTTTCAATTGCCGACTTTTTACCAAAAGAAAAAAAATAAGGAGAAAAGCAAGAAGAGAATCCTTCAGGCATAAGCCACCTCCTTTCCCTGCTTATCCCGCGAATTTTATGCTTTGCCGCAGTGCAGAAAGCACAAGTAATTCAATTTAATGCGACCTTCTGTTGCCCGTCTGGCATATGATTATGAAATGTGCAGGGATACGATCCCGAAGCCTCCTCACTCAATATTTCAGTAATAAAATTGAATTAACGCCGCCGAGTTTGGGTTATAAAAAGAACAAAATCCCCGGCGAAAAAAAAGGGGGAACCATGTTTTGTGAAAGCCATTTATACTCACCCCTGGACAACTTCGCCGCGACGATTTGGATATAATTCCGGATGTTGGCCATATCGCAGATAGACCTCGGTTTGCTGCTCGGCGCGTGAATCGAATGTGAAGTAGGTCTGCAAGGGGAAAAGAGAAAAGAAGATAAGAGAAGTGTAGAGAAAGGGAGGTAGAGTGAGCGTGGGATGAGTGGACAATGGCGGAAAATCACGTATACGCAGTGGGCCACCCACCGCCTGCCATTGTTACTGATGAATTTTGTCAATTTCCCTCCCAGCTTGGCACGACGTCAGACAATTGCGTGTTTCGCTAGCGGATCCCGCCCTCTGCTCCCAGCTCCTTTATCCTTCCGTTGAAGCCCAGCTTTCATTCCATGGCCTGCCACATGGAAATGTGCAATGTCATTTGCCCCTGCCACCCACATCCACCCCATGCTGGCACACAGGACTCTGAGCTTCTCTCCCTCTCTCCCCATCGCCCAACCTGTTTGCCAGGTTCACAGTTGCTGTTGTTGTGGCTGTTCCTGGTCCTGCAACGGTTGCCGTTGCCTCATCAGCGCTAATGACGTGCTGCAGTGACGTAGGCAGCCGGCACGCCTCCTTTTCACCTCGGCAACTGTGGGAAAATGGCCAAAAGAAACGCAAAGAGGCGGAAAAGTTGGGGGTTTTTCAAAAGGGTAACGAACTAAGATGAAGGGGGAAAAAATATTATTCTGCATAAAAATGCAGACAAATAATTAAAGCAGACTCAGAAAGGGGGATACATTTTAAACCAAGTTAATTTAAGAATTTTCCGAAATATAAAATAAACAGGTAGACTTGAATTTAAACTGATAAACTAACTAACTAACTAAAATATTGGAAATTGTTATTCCAAATCGGAATTAAAATGATAGAAAACAATAAATATTTGTCCTCCAACAGATTCTGAAGTTAGTAAAAATATCAACAAATTTTATTTTAATTACAAAAAGAAAAAAGAAAAAAAAAAGTTACACTTTAAATATCGAAAACTTAAAAATTCCTCATCGAAAACGATAAATGTAAACTCAAGCTAATATTTCAGCTAGTTTGAAATATTTTTGAATATAACAACCCATTTCACACCCCCCAAATCAATTTCAAACGCTTCCGTAAATAAAGATTAATTATCGAAAAATCCGATTACTCCGCCGAATTAAATTACCAATGCGATTGGCCAAAAACCACAGCATATAATTAAAGCCAATTCGCCAGTTTTGATTCGATTTAATCGCTAATCGAACTCCCTGCTGCGCCATTCCCCAGAAAACATTCATTTCAATTACGGATATCGACGGGTAGTCAAAATTATCGGAACAGAAAGAGGGCGATAGCCGCAAAAGCGATTTCCTTATTCCGTTCACCTGCCGCAAAGTCAACGTCATGGCTATCAATACGACCCCTCTCCCCTCCTCTGGCTCTTGCCAGCCTTGATGGCCACATAAACCTCGTTGGCCATTTTCCATCCATCCGGGAGGATAGCCTACCCGGCGGATGGATCCCCCATTTCAGAGGGGAGACAGACAGGTGGGGAGCTACGTAATGCACATGTCAATATTAAATGCGTTACCGGCGTCAATGACGTTAGCGCCACTTAACGATGTGAACAATGGCAGACGCAGGCTCGTTTCGATTTATCCAGATGCTGCTCACGTGGATATAACATTCTGTTGGGTGGAAAAACCTGCAACCCTCTTGATACACCGAGAAAAAGTTCTAGAGAAAATGCAAGCTTAATTGCTGAGATAAATCTGGATAATAAGCAAGCTTTTTTTTACTGTTAAGCTTGAGAATTAGTTTATAGAATAAAGTCTCCCCACTTTCTCTCTGTGTAAACTCCCCTGCATCGAATATTTTCCAACGAGGGACCATCACTGATCCCGCTTCGAATGAATATGATGATAATGATGATATGATGCCCATGGTCGTCGCCCCGTTAATGTCCTGACAAATTTGCGCTCGAATAAATTAAAATTTCAAACTGATTTGTTGCCGACTGCTGCTGCTGCTGCTGCTGCTGCTCTTTGGTGTCCCCGGCGTTTTTGTGCAAATTATTTTTGATTTATTTCGCACGGGATTTATGTTAATGCGAATGCGAAATTATTTCGTTTCCCCTGGTCTGCCGCCGTCCCTCATTAAATCGTATTATTACATTGCCAGTAGAACTGTCGCTTATTTTTATTTATTACCGAATAAAGCCCATGACTCGCCCCAAATAAGTGGCAAAAAAGTTCCATCGTCCAAAAAAGTGGAAAGCGAAAAACAAAAAACCGGAGTAAGGAATAAGTACAAAGCGCAGCATCCGCCGCCAACTTTCAACTTGCAACTTCCAGCGAGCTTGGAGAGTTTTCATAAATATTTATGACTCCATTAAGGTGTGCATAAGACACACTCTGGAGGGTGTCCTGCCAGCGGAACCTCCCTCGTGTCCCCTGTACCCTCTGCATCTCAAAGCTGGAAGCTGGAAGCTGGGAGTTGGGAGCTCCAAGCTGGCAGCACTCATTCATGGCTTTAGTCGGTGTTGTTTGTGTTTGCGCATCCCTGCAACTTGTTGTAAGCCGGGACCATAAAGCCAATCGCCTGCATTGACTACGCACAGCGAAGGAGTGCATGAGCGGCAGGATAGAGGCAACTGTTTGACTTTGGGATTGGATTGAATGCAACGGGAGAGCTTGAATAGAGTTATGGCTCTCGGATTTTGAAGGTTAAATCATTATGATGGAACGGAGGAGATTGAAAATCGGTTTGGCAATTGAACGGACACAGGAAAAATTCCATCTGGCAGGCCATCATTGAAATGTTCACAAAGAGATTGACAGATCTCTTTGTAAAAGGTAAACATGATGATGGGTAAACATTCATAGAATAGTGCCTTCTTAAAGCTTCCCTAATTTACTTAAAATCCTCTTATATATATCTTCCTCTAACTAGATTTTTCCAAGACCTTTTGAATGTCTCATTACTTCAAATGAATGACATTTTTCCCTCCTTCCCATTATATATATAGAAAGAAAAACTCATTTTCCCAGCCACTTTCCCCATCTAATAACAAGCTTTATTGTCTCATTTCTTTTGGGGATAATTTCCCTCCATCTGTTACCATTTGCATGGCTTGCATTTTTCAAGGGTTTTTCCTTCCGCTCTGCCATTATAAATATTGAAATTCTTGATGTGACATAAAGAACTTATCTTTCATTTTATAAATGCAAATACCGCATCAAAAACGCAGCAGCAGCCAAGCAGTTGACGAAAAAAAAGTAAATAAATAGAAAAACAAAAAAGCTGAGGAAAAATCTGAAGGGAAAACAGCAGCGCAAAAGTGAACGGGGGCAAAGCTAAATAGAATTCAAGTTGTGAACTGAAAATTCGCATAGATGTGTGTATAATCTGGTATATATATTTATATATAAAGAAGACTGACGGCGCCAGCCAGCCAAAAAGGATGCAGGAGACACGCGGGACACACCGACAGACGGAGGCCAGACAACAGCTCCGCCCACTCTTGAATAATGCATGCAAAAATACTAGAAAGAGAGATAAAAAAACACACAAAAAAGGGAAAAATGAATATAAAGGAAAATAAAAATATAAAATATACACAGGACCGAGACTCACCGAGTCTCTCAGAGTCTCCCTGTATCTGTGTGTGTGTGGGTATAACTCTCGCTAAGTGCGAAAGTGAGTTGCATAGATGCAACCAAGCAGATAGAGCAACATGGGTCAGGACATGGCAACAGCCAACAGGCAGCCAAAGTGTGGAGGCTGTCCTGGCAAGGAGTTGAGGAGAGGAGAGCCCGGAGAGCGAAGACAGGCAGCCAAGACTGGTGTGCTGTAATATTTTCCTTAAATTATGTGATAAATATAAATATACTAGAGGTTTACGCCGATGGTTAAAGGCATCGGCGGCGGCGTAGAGGTCAAAATGACTCGGCGGCGGCGGCGTAGTAGTCAGAAAGAACCGGCGGCGGCGGCGCGTCAAATAAGGCAAAAAGGCCATTTTAATGAGTTATTTTTTTTTTTTTAAGTTTTATAAAGAACAATGACACTGAAGGCCGCGCTGAAGCTGCGCCGATGCCGCACCAGCGGCGCGCCGCGGCGCGCCGTTATTTTCATAATTTGGCGGCGGCGCGTCAAATAAGGCAAAAATCGGCGGCGGCGGCGGCGTGGCGCGGCGGCGTATATGTCTAAAATATACAGACATTTATATACGTGCACTGGGGGAAAATGAAAGATGTTAAAACTAGATTCGACATACATTGAATAGAAAAAAATAATCTAAGGATTATAATCCTTCTTTAGACACAATCAAGTCCTAAAAAATATTTTCACATATTACCCCCCACCTTATTTCTCTCAGTGTAGCTATATATTTACGCCCCTAGAAATATGCAAGCAACCAGGACAAGGGGACTTTTGTTTATTAGTGTAAGTGGCAAGACTCTGGCGACAGGAGGCAGAAGACAGAGGACACAAGACGAAAGACACGAGACGGAAGGCAACGGACGGACGGCAGGCAGGACTTCAAGGATGCCCTGGCTGTTGTGTTGCTCTAGCAGTAATTGGAATTCTCCTTTGAATGCCTGGCACAAAAATGAAAAGTCCCACCGAGAGTGGAGAGGATCCTCCCCATAGGCACGAGAAAGTGTCTCGTCCTGGCATCGCCTCTCACCTGATCCGTAAAGTTGTCCGTGTGGAAGAGGACCTTCACGTAACTAGTCTCGCTGATGAATGTCTGCGGCTGCTCCGCCTCTCCGCAAAACATTCCCGGCTCCCGGCGGTTCGAGACATCCGTCTTGGCGTTGCCGTCAACAATCTGCAAACAAAAGAAACAAGGAGACCAGGACCTCTTAGACTCAGGCAGGGCATCGTATGTGCGTGAGTGTCTACGCCTTGGCGAAAGCATAAATTAGCCGCCGCCGACGCAGATAAATCTAAGGGAGTAACCACACCCACCTGCAAATAGCCACCCTCGCAGTGGGTGGCATTCAGGAGCTGACCCACTTTGAACTTCTTGAATCGCAGGCGGAGCACAAAGTCGCGCGGCGCTCCCTTTAAGGTACGGAAGCGGTACCAGCAGGTCAGGGGACGGCCCACATTTTGATTGTTGACCTCCGGCGAGCTGATGTCCTCGAAGATGTCCACCGTCTTGTTGCAGTGATCCCGGTCTCGCCCGGAACCGCCTTCTGCAGAGCTGCCACCGCCGCCTCCACCTCCTCCACCACCGCCACCGCCTCCTCCACTGCCGCCGCCGCTGCCACTGCCACCTGGAAAGTACAGAGAAAGAAGTTAATAATTAGTGGGGGGTATTTTAATAAGTAATATGTACAAAAAGGATTCTTTTGAAAAATCCGAAAATTATTATATAAATTTCTCTGAAATTCTGCAGCGTTTTTGGTTTCAGTTCATTAAAATCCGCCTCTTTTTAAAAACTTCCTCATCATCTGAAAGCTTGGATATCATATGTTTTCAGTCCCTTTTCATTTGTAATCTTCCCGGCGAATCTAAAGTTACCTTCATGTGGGTAAACCGCAAAACTAGGCTTATTATTAATCTCCTTGCCCGGCTCACCTCGGGTTTTATCTTTTTATTTTTACAAAAACAGAGAGACAGACAGTCAGAGAGCTCCTGCGGCCGTTTCTATTCATTGTGCTTAATTTATACAGCGAAATGCATAAATGACAAAAGGACATTGTGCTGAATTTGTAATTCAAGTCTGGCTGTTGACAATGCCACCCACTCTCTCCCCCTTCAAATGCAAAAGACGCAGACGTCGTTGTCCCTGACTGTGACAAAGACCAAAAAATAAAGAAGAAAGAGAGAAGGTCCTGCCACGCCTCAGCCCACCAACAGCGCCCACTTTAGCAGTCAAGGCGCGTAAAATTTTTAGGAGAGAACTGAGACTGAGAGCCGGAGAATTGGGGAGCAGAGGAGAGAATCGTGTCGAGAGTCGGGTTTTTCGCGTCGAGTGTTTGTGTGGCTTGCCTTATAAATTACCCCAAAGGCGAGTGCAAGTCCTTGCCGAGGATCTTTTCGCCTATAATGCAAAAATATTCTTGTGCTCAACTTTTTAATCAGAGAAGCGAACTTTGGGGTTCTAGCCAGGGGAAGGGTAGGGGGAGGGTTTGCAAACACGAAGGTTACGTGACCAACATTTTTTTCTTTTTTAGAATTTTGCATTTCCCTGATTGTTTTTCTTTTCTTTTATTTGTTTAAGTTTTTTTTCTGTTGTTTAGTTAAATTATGAAAGGCAAATTGTCTGGAGTTTATGTGAGAGGAATATGGCAATTTTTATGGGGTTCAGTTTTACAAGAAATTTTATTAAATACAGAAAAATATGATATATAATTTTGTTGGGGTAGTGAAAGGCAAGGACATATGTTCTCTTATGAATGAAACCTTCCTTAAATGTGAGAAAACCGAGTTTTATTTCCTCATAAAACCCCCCTTTATGAGGGTTAAAGTAGAACCTTTTGCCTTCGCCTCGGCTTGGCGCCTTCCTTAATGCCCAACATAATTATAATCAAAGGAAGGGATATCCACCTCAAGGATATACGTGGCACCAGCCCCCCTAATTGAATTGGCGACTTAATTAATACGAGAAAAGCTTTTTGCAAAGCGACACAGAAACAGTGAGAGAGAGTGAGCTCATGGCAACATCAAAAAGGATTTAATTAAATGAAATATCATACACTTTCATTTCGCTTAAAGGACGCAGTAGGGATAGGAAGGGGCAGCCAACCGCAGCAGGGAGTGCCAGTTAACGCTAAGGATATCGCTTCAAAGGGACTAGGACCAGGACCCTCTTTTGTGCAAATCGATACACGCGAACGTACATCAGAATTTTGACGAAACGCAATCAGCTTAGTTGCAGGCAAAGCCGCCGAGAGTTACCCGGCCGGAACCACTGAAACCGCCAGCCAATATCGCCAAGCCGCGCGGCATGTGGTCGGGAGCTTAACAAGGATCCCCAGCCAGCCTCTGTCCTGTGTCCTGTGGGCTGCTTAAGCTGAAATCAAGAAGGATTAGGGGGGAGATGGCGGTAACTTTCGAAGATTGGGGAGGTTGGTTGGTTGGTTGGTTTCGCCGTAGGCGACAGGCGAGATGGCGTCTAACAAATCTGTTTAATTTATCAGCGTTTCATTATGTAATACACATTCTATGGAAATGTCTCAACCACCCACTGGGAGGCTGCTCGGGGGTAGAAAATTGTGGCTTTAAATTCAGCTTTTGGTAATTAGCGGTGGACAGGCAAAGGCCGCAAAGACATTGGGGTTGTTATATTAAATTTAAGGAAATGGCAGGTCCTTACTATTTTATAAAAGCAATGATAAAACCCAGAAATAAATTTATAATGAGTCTAAATAAGGCTGAGTAAAAGGCATTTCAAAGAATCTCAAAATATAAATAAATTTCTTTCTATTTAAAGCTTTTTGTAAAGAGAATTTCACGTAAAGGTTTAACCTTTTCAAGGTACTCCTTTAATTATATTTTAATCCTCTTGATTTACTTTTACCAAGAAAATTATACCATATAAATTATCACCGCTTTCACACCCCATCTCCAGAGTTTAATCTCTTCTCGCGCAGCCCATAAATAAATCAAGTCAATGACTTTACACCGCATTCCCGAATGTCCGATGAAAACTTTGATGAAAGATTCCCCTTAAAGTTTTTTACAGTCCCCGACAGAGTTTAAAAAAAAAAAGAAGAAAACAAAAACAAAACGAAAAAGTAAAGCAAAAAGCAACCATCATTCAGCCCGAGGCCTTTGGCCTCGTCAGCAGCAGTTGCAGTTTCTCAGGGAGAAAAGAAAGCAGACGGAGAGCCATGATTTAAACACTCGCCAAGTGGCAGACGGCAGAGTCCAACTGGTGGCACTCACTCACTGGTTAAGCCTTAAGTCGGCTCACAGTATCCAGCTTCTACAGTGCCTGCCACCCCTTCACCTCTGTTGGCTCTTGGTGTGCCGGGGTTCTTTGGTCCTTAATCTTCGTCCCGTAAAGTTCACACAACTATTGTCACATGCGATACACCCACTCAATGGGTTACAGGCCCATTGAGAAGATGAAGTAGAGGAAGGGAAAGGCAAGGCAAGGAAAAGAGAGGCTAGGCAAGGCAACAACAACTAGAAAACAATAACTATAGTAGACAGAATACACAGAGGAAAATGAACCTGAGATCTTGGGGTTTTCTTGGAATTTTTATAGATTTAGTTTGATATATATCAAAGACTTCCAGGAAGATTATATCACTTCTTCTCCCGCTTAAACTTTAATTTGTAGTTTAAAAAGTATGTATAAATATTCAAAAAATAAATTAAAGCCTTGGAATTGTTAACAACTATTTTATTTATATTTTAACTTCCCAACAAATCGATTTGCTGCGCTCCAGCGACCTGGCACTAGATTCCCTACTCCTTTTCTCAGCTTTTCCTCAGAGCTCAAAGTCAAGCTGGAAAAATGCCGAAAGTCGCTGGTCCTTTGCATATACAACCAATCTTCTCCCTGTCCCGGCCCACATGTTGATATATTGTCAACAGACGCACATCGCATTTGTCTCGGCTTTTCTCCTCTTTTGGTTTTCCTGGTTGGTATCAGAGTTGGCTGCGTGCTGGGGTTTACCCTCCCCGCCCTTATATGCTGTCCCTTTTTTGATAAAGGTTGACAAGCGCCCCCGCCACTCATATCGACTTTGCCTTCGTCCTTGGTCCTTGTCAACAACCATTGAGGAGGCCTTGCCGTGGCAGACATGAAAATCGATTATGAAAATCGTTTGTTCAACATTTTTCACGCAGATACGCACCAGCAGCAGCAGCAGCAGCAGTCGCTGCCTCTAGTAGATTTCTCTCTTCTCTCCTGGTTTTTATTTTCATTTTTTATTTTGCATTTGCATTTGCATAAATATTTTAATAGAATTTTCGTCCCTAAAGCGGCTTTCACTATTTTGCAGCTGGGTCTGCTCTCCCAGAGATTGATGTTTAATGTGGAAAAGGTCCTGGAAAAAGGGACCAACGGTAGGGAATGAAATGAAATTGACTTATTCAAATAAGTGATTTACCACTTGACGAGGACGACAGCGACAACGACGACGACGTCGTCGTCGGACACGGACCCAAAAACTCGTAAAATACAGCAACAACCGGGAATTTGCATAAAATTCGGAAAAAAGCAACTGCCAAACAGCAACACTCAAAAATGGCTTCTGGGCAGGCGACTTTCCTACGAAAAACTGAAGTGGGTCCTCTTAAGGAAATGACTGCCAAGGTTTTGATTGGTTCCAAATGTGTGTGTGAGAGTGTGTGTTTGGGGCAAGCCATTGACATATTAAATTAATACGGCTGCCAGTGTGTGAGAGGGTCAGAGGTTACTGGGAAACGAATTTGAATAATAGCCAATTGACCTTTTGGAGAGAAGGTAGTTGACTTCACAAGGAAGTTTGGATATAGTTGGGTAAAGAGTGAACAATAGTAAATTATTTGTTAATATATAATAGCTACTGAAAGTATATATTTCATGTTGCTTATGGTAATTCTTATGGTAATTCAAATTAGAACAGCATTCTTAAAGGTTTTGTGTAAAGCTAGAATACTTTAATAATTTAACCAAGCCCCCCTACTGACCACATAAATAAAAAAAGCTAATTTCCTAAGCCATAGCCTTAAATTGTAATATTACTTCTATTTCTTTATCAATAAATGCTTGACTTAAATTATTCAAAAAACCAATTCCCCCAGCATAAATACCCCAAAAAACCAAATTTAAATGGCCTTCGACTTTTTCAGAAATTCGAAACCCACAATTACAATATTCTTTCATTGTCCAGATTTTCCTTTGAGGCATTTATCCCTGGCTTTGTCCCTTCTGTTGGCTTGTCCACTTCAAGGATATTAAGATTATCCATCAACACTTGGGCCCAATGCCACCCCCAACCACCCACAAAGCCCCTCTCCATTAGAATTTTCCTCCCCCCGGTCAAATGAATATAAATGACCTGACGCTTTAAATACTAATAGCCAGCAAATTCTCTCTTATCGAAGCAAAAACATTTCTCAACATTTTTCCCGTCACTTTTTATCTCATTCGATGTTTTTCTTTCTCTTTTCCTGCATTCTTGTCGGTGGGCAAACGAAAAAAAAAGAAAGAAAAACTTTTTGAACAAGACAATTTGTTAAAAAGGAAAGCCCGGGCCAAGAGCTCACTCTTCACCCCTGCGGATGGTTCCGTCTGTCGTTGATAGATTAACTGTAACGGTGATGGATCATTTAC